TTTTTTTTTTTTTTTTTTTTTTTTTAAATTATTAATCAGAGTGGACATCTAGTATTAGCATTTAATATTTGATGTGCAAAAGTAATGTTTTGTTTTGGTTGCTTTGGTTTTTTTTTAAACAACCTTTATAAATTGGTGAAAAATACTACTTTTAATTCTCATCTTTGGAGTTACTTATATTTTGAAAGTTTTCCTAGCGTTTGCTCTTAAAAGTTTACAAATGCTCAGCAGGATTTCTATTCTGAATCTTTCTTTGATTGTTTTTTTAAGACTCTTTAATATTTTTTATGTTACACAATTAAAGCATTAACATGTCTGCAGTCCCTAATGAAAAATGTGTTTGTTCAAGTAATAAACCAGTCTGTCGAGAGATATAAATATTAAAATGGGGAAAAGAATTGAGTAAACTTCTGACAAGACATGTGTTGAGTACTTTTCTCACCTTGGTTGTGAGTTCAGGAAGCACTAGGGTATGTACTGCCTGATTGGGAGAAATGGAAAGAACTGTGGTTTGGACTATGTGTAACATTCTATGCTTTTGAATATATTATCCTTCAAATTAAAATTCCTTGGAAACATAACTTTGAAATTAATTAGAAAGCTTTGTTCAATGAAACCTTCATTTATTTCAATGCTAGCTTTTCAAAATAGTTTAGTGTCTTAATTTGACAGTAGTCACAAGCCACTGTCCTCTAATATAGAATTGCAAGGAGGTCTGGAAGCATTCAGAAAGGGCATCTCCAGACAGAGATTTTATGGCCCCTTTTTATGAGAGTGACTGTGGAGTTCATCAGTTCCTCTATGCCTTGCTAGAAAATAAGGTATTTTTGGAAAGATGCTGACTCTTCACTTTGAAAGCTTTCCTGTGCTCCCTCAAACCAGGCCTGGTTTGTGTGGTCTCGTGGATGCATTGGTTGGTTGGCTCCCTGTTGTAGCATCCTTCCTACCACCTTGCTCCTAGCACATATGTTTTTCTTCTGAGAGTGCTACTATAGCTCTTGCTTTCTCCTGCATTTGTTCCAAAATCTACATAGTCTCTTTTAACTCTGCTAGAAAAGGAAAAAAGGAAGGAATATTTCTGTATGTTCTATGCTTTCCTCTGTTCTCTATGTAATGCAGGTTGTTGCCTAATGAGGAAAGCTTGGTATAACTGGCCTCTCTTCTTTTTATTTGGATGGTGGGGTTTTTTTGCTTGTTTTTTTTTCTTTTTTGGGGTGGTGTTTGGTTGGTTTTTTTTAAGCTGGCTGTTTATTTATACAAACAAGGCTTTCTCTTTGGGTTCTGCTTCAGGTCTTGTGCACGCAGCCCTATGGAAAGCATTACGAGCAGAGTGAAAGAAATAGGCGAGAGGTTCTGTCGCAGCTACACTCAGTCAACAGATGAACAGCCAGGATCTCATATAGGTATGGGTGTAAAGTGTGTGAAGTGTTTCAGAATATTAAACCAGGGCAAATAAAATGCATACATATACTATTGTCTAATTATTTAATACAGTGGAGCTGTTTTTAACCCAGAACATATCTAAACAGGAAACTGCTGTAGTCAAACAGAACACTGTAAAGAACAGAAGTTTATTACAGAGTAAAACCAAAGTTGCAGTTCATAGCACCTCTTAGCAATTGTAAATTTGCATTCTTCTTCTATTTAAAATTGAAAAAGGAAACGGAATACAAATAGGAAAATTATTGTTGCAACTATCTACAAAATGACATCACTAGAAATATTAAAAAATAATATACTTCAAAACATTTCTAGAATTTTGTGCTGTTCTTGTGACTAGTGCATTTCTCAACATACTTTTTTGATTTGGAGAGTCTATGCACACGTTTGCACTGTTTTCTCAGAGAAGGACAAGTAATGGTCAATTTAGTCTTAAAACCATTTGTGCAAATCGCATTGGGCTTCATCTCTGTTGGTCTTAAATTTCAGATTTTGCTATAAACAGATTAAAACTGGCAGAGATCTTGTACTATAAAGTCTTGGAGACTATAATGGTGCAAGAAACACGAAGACTGCACGGGAAAGATCTGACTGTAAGTAAAGTACTGGCAAAAGAGGTGAACAACTTTTTGTACTCCTCTCTAGGGGGTTCTCTTCAGACAGCATCAGAACAGAGCAGTCTATAGTAAAGCAGTCTGTGTATATTGTTAATATTTTAAAAGGGGAAGTATATGGGAGGTACCTAAATATAGTTCTTACTGCTACTAAAAATGGTATGATTCTGATGTAACTAACCATCTTAATTTGTGTTGCCTTCTAGAATCATGACTTTATTGACAGAATTTTTATTCTCCTCTTTATCTAATTAACAGTATCAATACTTGATTTTAGACAGCAATGCATTTGTGCTGCTAGTCACAGTGAGTCAATTTCATAGTATGAAAAATGTGATTGTTTTGGCACTGTTAATCTGCTTCTAGCCTTTACCATTCTAAACTTTCCTGTCAAAAGAGGAGGTTGTGGTAGGTAGAAAAAAGTAGTAGCTATTCTCTCAGCAATAAGCTATGTGGTGTTAGTGCCACAAAACTCAAACTTCCCAAACATCAGATCATTGACATTTTCTGTAACCTCTTCAGGCTCTTCTGGAACAAGATGTCTTTCACCGTTCTCTCATGGCGTGCTGCTTGGAGATTGTGCTTTTTGCATACAGCTCCCCCCGTACCTTTCCCTGGATCATTGAAGTTCTTGACCTCAGGCCATTCTATTTCTATAAGGTAAAAAAAAATACTGTCTTAGGACAGATATGTATTAAAAGTGGCACATAAGAGTCTTAAAGACTCTTCCTTCCTAGGTAATCAAGTAGGAGAAGGACTGATGTTAATGTGTAATATGCCTATTCTAAATTCTGGCTGTCCTTAAATATATTACCTGGAATGTGTAATGCTGGAGTTGAAACTGAATTTAAAGGAAGAAAACCATTTTTTACATTATACTTAACTGTAATGTGCTGCAGATCAACTTTTAGTTCTTCATATATATATATATGCGCTTTTAGTAGACTAAAGCATTCAAGCATATATTTTGATGATATTCATATTTATTGACTGCAAGCTATAGTTTTGCTTATTAGTGATAAAATAGCAATAATACTCTTTGTTGCCTTTGGCTACTGCTACTTATCATAGGCTTGTTTTATTTTATATGACAACATAAAATCTCTTTTCCTGGATGTTTTCTATTTTTGCTCTTTTTTCAACCTCATTCTCTCCTGCCTCCAGTGTCATTTCTGTTCTTTGACTTGTTTGATGCTTTTATCATCTATCCATATGCCTTTTATTTTTACTAGATGCCTATCAGCTTACTACTCTAAGTCCTGAATAAATCAGAAGTAGTTCTGTTTAGATGATAACCAAAAAAAAAATTGAACCCTTTTATCCTGTTCTCTCTTCTTCCTTCTTTAATCCTCAGATGTAGGGCTATAGTGAAACTGAAACAATCTGTCTATTGCTGTGGCTCTTGGTAGCCTACATATGTCAATACCAGATGTGCCAGTGCAGATCAACTTTGTGCGAAAGATTTACATTTGATTTTAATTTTCTTTGCTCTTCAGTATACATTCTTGCAGCACTCTTAATTGAAAAAAAAAAATTGCCATCACAGAGACTTCACATGGGAGACCCAATATTTACTATTTCACTTGTGCTATTTTTAACTGTTCTTCGGGTGCTGTATTTACTTCTTTATACAACAGAAACTAAGTGCTCCAGGGAAGTTTTATGGCATTTCCATCTCTGGAGCTTTAGAAAAACAAGCTGAATGTTCCCCTGTGAGAAATAACATAAATACAGCGGATTGAGTTGGACCAGAAGAGGTAGAATAGGATATTTCAAGGGCCTTTTCAACCACGGTTTGTACGCGTTAAGTGTTCTAACCTTTTCTTAATTGAAAACTTAAGGTGCTGGTTTTCAACCTTTTTTATTATGGGCTGCTTGTTTGAAAGAAGGGAAAGCTTAAATGCTGGGGTTCTCATGCACCCAGCTGAAGTGGATACACCTGGTAATGTCTTCCTAGATCTGCATGCAGGTGGTGGGTGAGCACTGTGTGTGCTTAGTGCTTTCACTCTGTTCCTGCTTGGCGATGGTGAGAGGGAGCCGTAAAAAAAACCAAAACCAAAAAAGCCAAAAAACCCCCCAACAAACCCAAAGACAGCACCACACCAAACCCTGGGAGTGCGTTGTTCTGCATTGAGGAGACATCTGCTGTCCATATTCAACTCCTGGATTGCCATTGGGAAAGGGGGTTAAAAAAGAGAGATCAGAAGAGGGTTGGGGAAGATTAAGATGTAAGGAGGAAGCTGGAGCGTTCTACGTTGAAGAGAAGTTTCAGACAGGGTCCCGAAATGCAGAATGATTTAATAGTGTTAAGCACGAGCGATACGGCTGTGCTTTTGTGTGTGTGTCTTGTTACCATTAGGTAATTGAAGTACTGATTCGGTCTGAGGAAGGACTTTCCAGAGACATGGTGAAGCACCTCAACAGCATTGAGGAACAAATTCTTGAGAGTCTCGCCTGGACTCGGGATTCGGCACTCTGGAATGCCCTTCAGGCCTCAGAAAACAAGGTCCCAACCTGTGAAGAAGTATGTTTCCCGTTTCCCTCTTACTACAAAATTCATGCTCTCTTTTGTTACTTTTTTTTTTTTCATCATAGAATGGTTAGAGTTGGAAGGAACCTTAAAGATCATGGGCAGGGATACTAGACCAGGTTTCTTGAAGCCCCATCCAACCTGGCCTTAAACCCAGGGATGGGGCAGCCACAGCTTCTCTGGGCAACCTGGGCCAGGTTCTCACCACCCTCACACCAAACAATTTCTTCCCAATGTCTAATCTCAATCTCCCCTCTTTCTGTTTAAAACACTTCCCCCTTGTCCCATCACTCCCCTCCCTGATCCCGAGTCCCTCCCCAGCTTTCCTGGAGCCCCTTTAGGGACTGGAAGGGGCTCCAAGGTCTTCCTGGAGCCTTCTCCAGGCTGAACCCCCCCAGCTCTCTCAGCCTGTCCTCACAGTAGAGGGGCTCCTGCCCTCGCAGCATCTCCATGGCCTCCTCTGGACCTGATCCAACAGGTCCATGTTCTTCTGATGTTGGTGGCCCCAGAGCTGGAAACAGCACTGCAGGGTAGTCTCCCCAAAGTGGAGCAGAGGGGCAGAATCCCCTCCCTTGCCATGTTGCTGGGGATGCAGGCCAGGGTGCAGATCTTTTCTGGGCTATGAGCATACGTTGGCAGCTCATGTTGAGCTTCTCATCCACCAACACCCCCAAGCCCTTCTCCTCAGGGCTGCTCTCAATCCATTCTTGCCCAGTCTGGATTTGTGCTTGGAATTGCCCTGACCCACGTGCAGGAACTTGTACTTGGCCTGGTTGAACTTCATGAGGTTTGCACAGGCCCACCTCTCCAGCCTGTCCAGGTCCCTCTGCGTGGCATACCTTCGCTCTCCTCAGGGCTGCTCTCAATCCATTCTTGCCCAGTCTGGATTTGTGCTTGGAATTGCCCTGACCCACGTGCAGGAACTTGTACTTGGCCTGGTTGAACTTCATGAGGTTTGCACAGGCCCACCTCTCCAGCCTGTCCAGGTCCCTCTGCGTGGCATACCTTCGCTCCAGCATGTCGACCGTACCACACAGCTTGGTGTCATTGGCAAACTTGGTGGGAGTGCCCTCGATGCCACTGTCCATGTCACCAACAAAGATGTTAAACAGCACTGGTCACAGTACTGACCCATGAGGAACACCACTCGTCACTGGTCGCCACTTGGACATTGAGTCATTAACTGCAACCCTTTGAGTGCAGCCATCCAGCCAGTTCCTGATCCACTCAGTGGTCTGTCCATCAAATCCATGTTTTTCCAATTTAGAGACCGGGATGTTGTGCAGGACAGTGTCAAATGCTTTGCATAAGTCTGGGTAGATGAAGTCAGTTGTTCTTCCATTATCCATCAATGGTGTAACCCTGTCGTAGAAGGCCACCAAATTTGTCAGGCACAATTTGCCCTTAGTGGAGCTATGTTGGCTGTCACAAATCACCATATGCCTTACCAGCAATTCCAGGACGATCCACTCCATGATCTTGACAGGCAGAGAGGTGAGACTGGCCTGTAGTTCCTGGTCTTCCTTTTTTTCCCTATTTAAAAAACAAAATTTCTTCTGTTTTTTTTTTTATTCAGAAAACCATTCAAATGAGACAATTACTGCAGAAAAATTTGTATTAATAGATTGGCACAAAGAGGGAAAATCTATTTGTTATCTTATGTGGATGTTTCTTATTTCTCAGGTAATATTTCCCAACAATTTTGAAGCAAGCAATGGAGGAAGTGGGCTTGGGCATTTGTCTATCATGCCAATATCTCCTATAATTCATCCTCGAGTAAAAGAGGTTCGGACAGATCTTGGTGGGAGTTCAAAGCGGGGTATGTTCAAGGTTTCTGATTTGATTTGAATGTGTGAATTTGGGGAGGGAGGGTTTAGTCTTTATAACTGCAAAAAGCAACCTTGAATCTGAATTAAGCATTCAGAATTGTGAAGCCTCTTATTCGATCAAGGGAAAGTCTAGATGTATCCAGTCAAACCATTGCTGTGTCTGACTGGCAGCAGACAGTGGTGCTAATGCTTCACTTCTGAATTGGAGCAAGTTTTGCTGCTGTTTTGATGCAAGGGTTACCTTGCTCTTGCATGGGTTGTGATCTGATGGCTTATTGTCCCATGCTGGTCAGATTTTTCCAGTTTGTTGGTTTTTTTTTTTTTTTGTTCTAGTAATTTGACTAGATTTTAGGTGATGTTTTTAAATGGAGTACAGAGGTGCCCCTTCCTACAGAAGGGGAGGACAATACTTTGCAGTATTCTTTTCCTCTGCAGAACTACTGCCCTACTCTCTGCAGATTCCACGGAACCACACAGAAGTATCTTGTGGCAGTGAGGATGGAGAGGCAGTGGCAGCACCACTCTTGGCTTTCCATGCTTCCCAATTTAGGAATCGCTGCTTTTGTTCTGTCCCAAACAATAGTCCATAGGTTCTTGGTGCACTGTGGACTGTATAAACAGTTGCTGTAGTTGTTATGGTTAGTTGTTTGATGGAAGGGAAAGCACCATGGCAATGGTGTCTTTTTTACGGGTAGGACTGTGTGAGACTTTTCTTGTATATGAGAATCTGGTACCTAATGTTCTTCCTAACTTCAAATGGGGGGGGGATTGGTAATGTTTATTTGCCCCTGGTACCAAGTAAATCATCCTGGCAGAGTTAGAAGTAAGGTCTCCAATCCGTCTTACTTGGCCAGTTATCTAGAAGGTTTCTGCTTCATGGGAAATAGTAAACTGCTGACACTGGTGTCCTCGTAAGCGGCTGACAGACATCAGCAAAAACGTAAAAACGCCTGTAGATAAGCATTGTGTATTCCAGCCTTACTCAGGAGCAATGTTGGAAAGCAACAGAAAAGCCTGTTGGACGAGGTGGAAGTAGGTGGAGGCTTCTGGCTGGGGTTAGTTTGGGGAGAGTTTAAAACAGAACATGCAGAAGACAGCATGTCTAGGGAACGTGGGCAGTGGTCCTGCAGAGGAAAGCATTCAGAGGAATAGCACTTACAAATATTACTAATCCGCTGAGCAGGCGGGAGTAAGGATCTGTAGTCCTTGTTCATGTGGCCTAGGAACAGTGAACTGTGAGAAGTGATTTCTTGTACTCCAGTTTGTAGTTTGAAGGTTAGCCTTTTCCTCCTTCCCTGAAGCTGCTCCTCTTAAGGTTGCTTTTTTTTTTTCTCTTTTGCATACTAGACATGCAGCCGCTGTCACCAATCTCTGTTCATGAGCGCTACAGTTCTCCTACAGCTGGAAGTGCCAAGAGAAGGCTCTTCGGAGATGACAACCCCAAAGAAATGCAAATGGAAAAAATTTTAACTGAAGGAACCAAGTTGACAATCGCTCCAGCATCAGGCGTTGCTGCTGAAAAAGGGTCGGTTTCTGCTGGCCAAACAATACTGACCATGACAGCAGCTACAGTACCGGGAAAAACGGGACAGAAGGTGACTGTCCCACTGCACGGTACGGATTTGTCCCATTTTTCTGCTCTACTAGATGTTTTGATTGCTCTTAAGATCTGCTTAGACCAACCATGCATCCTGAACATGTATCACATTTTCTTTTTTAAAAGAACATGTATCACTTTATTAAAAAAAAAAAAGAGTTTATACTAATGTTTCCTGTGGAGACGTCTGATACATGGCAAGCATCCTAAGGATTCCTCCTTGTCAACAAAGCTGTGGAGATCTTGCTTCTTACAGTTATGCCTCATCACAGACTAAGTAATACTTTGGTTCTTGACTCCAATAATGTTTACTACTGTCTGTCTTAACTTAAGTCTCTTATAATATTACAAGGCTCTGGACTTTCTGGATAAGTGCTACATATAAATGTTAGCAAAATAGTGGAGGATTTTTGTTTTGCTGAAGTTGAGTGATACTTGAATATTTCTGAAAATGATACATGACAAATGAGTTTTATAGCCTTTTAAAATTTAAGAACTGAATCTATAAATAAAGGTGAAAAGAAAAAAAACAACTCTACTTTTCATGTTTAAGGAGATTTTCAGGCAAGAGAATTTGACTACTGAGGAAACTAATGAGAGCTGTATATGATATGCTGTCAGCTTTGCAGAATAATAATAAAAAAAAGAGGTGATGTCCACCTCCCCCAGGAGAGTGGAACTGACTGCAGAAATTGTGTTTTCTTGTAAACTTTGTCCTTTCAGATAGATAGTTTTAGAAATGATTGTTCATATTCATGTTCTTCCTTTAAGCATTACTAGAAATGTAATTTTTAATCACTTCTGAGGACTCTGAGGGACAAAGACTCTTTTTAGCATCCAGTACAGAAGGATGAGATGTCTTCAGTATGGAATGTTTGTGAATGAATTTCTGACTTGCAATTTAACTCTGCAGCATGGGGAGAGCATGAGGTTTATTTCTGGATGTGTATGTCGTCTCCAGGCATTGCGAATGAAATCAGTGGGATCACACTGATACCCATTTCGATGAATTTAGGTCAGCCGTGTAAGCTGGAGGCTCCAGTTCCCTGCCGCCCTTCAGTGAGTCAGGTGCAGGAAACGCATCTGGCATCAGCGAGCAAACAAAAGAAAATGGGATCCTTGGCCCTGTTTTACAGAAAGGTAAGTGTCTTTATTAGGAAATCATTCTATTCGTGGCCATGCTGAAACTTGTCTCCTTGTGCAGTTTTCATTACCTTTTGGTCTTCGCATACCTCCTTTGGTGCGAGCAGTTCTTAAGTACCTGGGAGGAGAAGGGAAAAGATACCAAGTGTTGCAGAGAATCTGATTTTTCCCCCTTCACCTCCACACACACACACACACCCCCCACCAAGATGCTTCATGGGTTTTTATTTTAATCAGCAGCTTCTATAAATAACTGTCTAAGAAATATTGGTAGTTTTTACTGCCTCCCACATTAGCAAGAGTTAGACATACCAGAACGGAGATTATTCTCCTGTGTCTTGCTCATTCAAAACTGCACTGGTTTGGATCCTGCATTTGGAGAGTCTCATTTGCAATATTCTGAGGTCTACCTAGTAGTGCTGGTCTTGGTGGTATGGGCCCTCAGAAAGCAGTGATGAACCACACATTCTCTGAAAGCTTCTAGAATGAAGGAAGCTCTTGCCATAATGAAAGATTCAAGGGGTAAGTTAAGAACTGAGTGTGCATCAGAGAAACTTCAGATAACTTGTTTCTAGTTGCTTTGATTTCGAAGGTGGAGTGTGTGAGGGGTCTTTGGAGGAGGCAGGGTAACATGCCTAAATGTCTGCAAAGAATATATGCCTAAATTAATCTCGCAAAAATATTAGGAGGGTTTTTTTTTGCTATTATTTTGTTACTAGAGAAATTATTTTCAGAGGTTTTCAACTTTTAGGGTAGCTGTATTATAAACCTAGAAAATTCTGTATTGAACAATCTTTAAGGTAAATCTTAATACAGAAACCAATTCTGTACACTTGAGCACCACATCCTGTGTCTGATCTACTGGTTCTTGAATGTTGATAGTGACAGTCTGTCTGAGAATGGATGGAGATCAGCCAGCTGCCAGGCATGAGCTTGGGCTCTGTTTTGGAAGCTTTACTGTTGGGGAATGCTTCAGCTCTAGTCATGTTACCATGTAGTAGGCAACATATTCCTCTTAGTTAGGAGGAGTACTAAAATCTTTGCTTGAATTTGTCTTTAAATTCTGGCCTCCTATTTACAAGGACCATTATACTCAAAATGATAGCTTTTCCTTACTTTCCTTTCTTATTCCAGTTCAGTAGAGCAAGTGAAAATGAAATGAACTCATTCTGGTTTCCAACATAAGGAATGCACCTAATTACTGTCCATGAAGTGAAAACTTCTGAAATAAATGGAAGAAGGCTAATGTTGTACTTAGTAGTTATTTCAGGTTTTGAGACGGATTTTTGGTAATTTAAAAAAAAAAAATCCATCGGTTTGTTAATCTAAGATTATACTTAGTCATAATTAAACTGTGTCCCTTCTTTGTGCTTGAAGGAAGTGTTCTGTTATAGTGGGTGAGTGATATGGCGTAGAAGCTGTAGTCATAATGTTTTTAAGCCGATTTCCTATAAGCATGAGAAATCAAACCTCTGAAAAGAGTTGACAACTTAGTCTTTAAAGACATTGTCTTGGGCAGAGGGGGAAGATTTTGCAGAAATATAGAACAGTTCTGCATTGAGGAGTTCCATTTTTGCAGACTAGGTTAAGCTCGTTTGGCTTGACTCCTTACTGTCTGTCTCTTTTCTTCCAGGTTTATCATCTGGCAAGTGTGCGCTTGCGTGATCTGTGCTTAAAACTGGATGTTTCCAATGACTTGCGCAGGAAGATATGGACATGCTTTGAATTCACATTGGTTCATTGTGCTGACCTAATGAAGGACAGACATTTGGACCAGCTCCTCCTCTGTGCCTTTTATATCATGGCAAAGGTAACATGCAGTTTCAAGAAATTCGGGAATCTTACGTCAATAGAAAATGTAAATTGTGTTTACAGATTACAATTGCTTTATTCATGTAATATTACTGGAGGCAAGGGAAAAATCCTTCCAAGAAGTGGATGAAGTCCCAGTATATTTTTTTCCTTGTTTTGCATAATCGTAAAAGTTCCTATCAACGAGCCACTTGGTTAGGACAGGATTTTTCTTCTCTTCCTGAGCACAATTGCAGTGAGCACTTGTTGGTGTAGACAAAGCAGTGTGAGGTCTCATTGCCCCAATTTTGTGTTTTCTGTCTTGTTTGTCATCTTCATGATCTATGTGATCTGAAATAAATGTCATTACAGTTACAAAATTCTGTGGGAGCTCACGACCTTATATATGGATGGAAAATTTCTATTCCTCAAAAATCTGCTTAGCTTTTGAAGATCCAGGCTGAGGAATTGAGCTGGTTGCCTGTTACTCGTAATTCTTAATTTCTTATTCAATTTGCCAGCATTGATTTAAGGTGTTATTAAGTTGGATTATGAAACTGGAATGTTGGTTTGACTCAAACTTGAGAAGTGATGATTACAATGGCCACCAAGTCTTATTTGGATGCAAATTCGGGAAAGTGAAAGTAAGCCAGGCTCATCTAAAACATTGGGGATAGATTACCTATTCTTGAGGAAGACAAATGAAGAGGAGCACTATTTGCAGAGGGAAAATGATGCTCAGGTTGTGACTACCTGTGCTCTTAATAACTGCAGCATAGCTTAGGTTCATTTAACATCGGCACCGATAGCCATAGAGAAGCAAAACCATTGAATAGTCAGTGCTGTCTCCAGTGCAATGTGAGATCTGACAATTTAGACAGAGACCTTGATATATTCACTCCTGGCTCCTACTACAAAAGTTGTTGCTCATCTGCTATTAATGTATGGCTGATGAACAAAGTGAGTTCTTTTGAAGTATAGCAGAAAGCTGAAATTGCACGTGTTTTGTGTTTGCCTTATGTTTTGTTCAGAATTTCCTCACTCTCTGGTTAGAAAAGTTTAAGGGTCCAGTTTTTAAATTTACAAATACATTTTTGATTTAATATTTCCCTTTAATTTTTAGCGTCACTAGAAGAAAAGTCAGAAAAGCAATAATTCCTAAGTGTCATAAGCAAAAAAAGCTTTAGTAGCTAAGAAACAAGGAATGCCTGAACTGGAAAACTGCTTGGGTTTTCATATTCTTATCACCAGAACTATATTTTTAAATTAGATATTCGTAGTAAAATACTTTCAAAAAGGCTGTATAGATGGAAGATAATTGAATATACTGGACCTGAGCAGCCTGACCTTGCTGCTTGCACTTGGTCTTCAATAGCCTTTTCTTTTCTAGGTAACCAAAGAGGAAAGAACTTTTCAGGACATAATGAAAAGTTACAGAAATCAGCCACAAGCCAACAGCCATGTGAGTAAATGGTACTGCCTTCTCTTTTTCTAAATCTCAGATAGAAGTGGCTTTTCAAACGTTTATACTGATAAAGGAAAAGTCAAATCCTCTGCAGTGTTATATTTATTCTTATTCACATGGATTTCACCTGCTCTTCTGACTTCTTTGACAAGACTGTTTTTTCCCTGGTGTCCTGTAGGTGTACAGGAGTGTCTTACTGAGAAATATTTCTGCTGATGTCCTGTTGGACAAAAATGCAAATCAAGATGTAGAGATGACAGAAGGTAAGTACAGCAAAGGAAGCTGCTGTTTTTAAAAATGTACTTGTAGGTTTTTAAAGAACTGAACTGTCAAGTGATATGAAGTGAAGCAAGTTTAAAATGTATTAAAGAATAATAAATGTACTGTTGAAAAAGAAACCATCTTGTCAGTAACCCTCCTGTATGTTAGATACAGAAAATATGCTTCCTATATGGAAAAAATGTTTCATTTTGTTTCCTTAAATTCTGTTTCTCAAGGTTGAAGTTTCCTTAGTGTCTCAGTGATCTTGTAGGGCAGCAACACTGGTTACCAAAGAAAGATGAACAATACCTAGAATATGACAGGTTTTTTACTTAATATGACATGTCCTGAAGGCTTAAATAGGGAGAACTTGTTTTGGAAAATAAAAATAGTGACTTAAAGACCACCATTTTTTTTATATTCAGGTTTCTTTTAAATAGATGATACTTTCTTTGCTGTGGGTTAGAGGAGAAAAGGGTAATATTTGAGAAAAGCATACAAACTGCCATGCCCGTTTTTACAGGGGGCAAAGAGATCACAAGCCCATGTGTGAACCCATGAGCAGAGCAAATCTGCAGCCAGATGCACATGCAGAAATTTAGAATACCATTTCATATGGGAAATTCCCACTGTGGCTGGGATTCAATTGCTTGAACGAGTATTAGAGCTATTTTTCACATGACTTTTGAGGATTCCGCCGGGGTCCAGGAAAGTGCTGCTCTCCCATAGGTTCAGCATTCTGTCTAGCAGCTCCACAATTCTTGGGTGTTGTAGAGCATCTGACATTGAGACTGGTTACAAAGTTCTTCTGTTGCTTTTCCTGGCAGGCTTTTTCTTCAGGTAACAGACTCATGTCTCCTTTTCCAGTATTAACTCACACTCTTTTGACCAGCACACAGGAACTTATGCTTGTGTTGTGACAAAGGCAAATGCACTAAGGGGTTCCTCTTATGGCTATCAGCTGAAGCTTTTGATGTCTGTCTCATAGTGCACTGATTGCAAGAGGCTTTATTCTGTGTTGCCCTGCTTGACAGTAAACAGTGCGGAGAATGAAACACAGAAGGTTGCATTCAGTAGTATTCAGGCTTAATTAGTGGAGAGAGAAATTAACGGCTGTGGCTGCAGCTTTTTCCACTGAACAACCTTTTATAATGCACCTGATCAAATGGTGTCGTGGCTTCCTTGCAGCAGGCATGAGTTGAGCACGAAGCCATTCTTTGCCAGCTAATCACTAGAAACTTTCACAGAAGCTGGGAGCTGTCAGACTGCTTAAAACTTAGTTTTAGGAGCAACAAATGGCTTTGTACCACTCCCCAAAATAAGCATGGGGAAAGAGGTCAGTTGTGCTACAGTTTTTTGCTACAGCTGTTTCCAAGTTTGGAATAAGGATTTCAGTTGGCCTTTTTAGCCATAATCTGCTTCCCTGCTCACAGCAATCTGTAGCTCCTCCCAAAGCTCATAACCACCTACAGCACACCCTGCTCTGGTCTGAAGCACCGTGCTTGAATTCAACTCATTAGCTAGTCAATTTATGGATGAGTTCTTGTCAGTTGGATATTATAAGTTTGACTCTAAAGCGCCCAGTTGGTGATGCTGTGTTTCTGAAATCTGAAGCTCTCTTTTATTGTTAGACTCGTCTGTGGAAACTGGCAGTTCCTTGGGACGATCCTCAGCAGAGAACTCCAGTGAGTTGGGAACAGAGGAGAGAGGGGATCTTATTAAATTTTACAATGCAGTCTATGTAGGAAGAGTGAAATCATTTGCACTGAAGTACGATATCACAAACCAGGATCACATAGTAAGTAAAGTATTTTGGAATTTTGTTCTAATAATCTGACAGAGTTGTTTTTCCTGACAGCCAAACATATGTCAAAAATTTTGTTCTATTATTCACCTGGTGTGCTTACAGAAGTAAAATAGTTGTAGGTAATAGTGTGAGGACTTCCTTTAACAGCCTTTCAGGAGAACAAGCACAGCTGCAGTTCAGTTTACAACCCCAGTTTCAGCTTCTTTGTATCAATACAACACCCATTTGATTAAATGCCTGTGGAGCATCTCTGTAACACACATGGAAAATCAATAAATTCCATTTGTGGATACTTGATCTGTTGTTAAACTGTTACAGGATAAAATCTTCTAAAAAAGATCCAGAAGTATATTAATCTTTCCTTCCTCCTCTTAAATATCTTCTGCTTCAGCCTCCCACCCCAATTTCTCCTCTCTTGCAGATGGAAGCCCCTCCTCTGTCTCCGTTCCCAAGCATTAAGCAGCAGCCAGCGTCTCCGCGGCGGATTTCACAGCAGCACTCTGTTTACGTTTCGCCTCACAAGAATGGTGCCTGCTTGACACCTCGAACTGCGCTACTCTATAAATTTAATGGGAGCCCTTCCAAGGTAGAAGGCCAAAAGGTTGAAAGGGGTCAATTTGAGAGAGGGTGAATTAGTCTCCTAATTTGGATCTGTGAGGTTTCATTGAGCTGGTCTTGCAGTTTGTGGTGGAGAGTAGAGTCCTTCATGTAGAATCCATCACTCGCTCAGCAAGAGGTTCAGAATAACGTTTTATTCTCAGATAACTGAACACCAGAGCAAGTTTGAAATGGAGTTGTAGTAACTCGTGATTTTTTTTATCTTGATCGCAGAGTTTGAAGGACATCAACAATATGATAAAACAAGGTGAACACAAAAGTAAGAAACGAGCGATAACAATTGATAGTGACACTGAATCCCCTACGAAGCGAATCTGCCAGGAAAATGATGATGTTCTACTTAAACGTCTCCAGGATGTTGTCAGTGAAAGAGCAAATCACTAAAACTGCCAGTTTTCTATGGGATCTAAAAGCTCTGAATTTGGATACAGCTGTTGCGCTATTTATTTCTTGCTTTTGTATACAGACAACTGCCAAGTTTTTTTTTAACATTCGTTAACATTGAATGTTTTCCCAACTTCCACAGGATGCAAAAAGTGAGTAGTAAACACTAGAGAAGGAGAGGAGGTAATGATTGTCGTTCCCAAAGGCCACGCTGGGCTAGAAGTTACTCCGTTTGAGCTGATTTAGCAAGAGTGTTCTGTAGAAAGCCATATTGGATGTTCTCAAGCCTAATGTAGAGCATCATGAGTTCTGAGCGTAACTCGGCTTCTGGTAATATTGGTCTTATTTTTGGAATAAGAATTATAAGGAAATGAGTGAAGTCAGTTAAGTTTCCTCAAGCTTTTGGTATTTGGGGAAGAAACTTTAAAAATTTTAAAAAGTGCCTTATTTTAAAAGAATGTGGAATTTTATGTATTATTTTACTGTGGAGTAACTGGAGCAGAGAACAAATTGATCATTTAGCCTGAGGAGGAGCTGAGCAGTTTAGAACTGTATGATTTGTGCTGTGCTCCATCTCCGGTCAGAACGACAGTGACAGTGTGTGTTGCGATCGGACAGCTTTTGCGGTAACAAAGGCAATAATGAAAAAGTACAAATGGCAGAGACTTAAACTGGACACTGACATCTGATAAAACGCCAAGGTACAGCTCAGTGAGTCTGAATTGCCATTCTCTCGAGCCCGCAAATGGGGCCACGGGAGCCAGAGCTGCAGAGGCCGTTTCTGCAAGCTGCAGTGTTCCTGGAAAGTGCCAGCTGAGGCTTTGGCCATTTTATAGCGGTTCAAATGCACACATTCATTTAACAAATTATATCTCTTCATTTTATTTTTTCCTGAAGATCTTAGCCTCTTGTGTAGTATCTACACTGCATGTAAGCCCATCAGATAAGGCATGTTTGTATATATGGGATTTTTATAGCTATTAATGGCTTGGATTCATTGGAAATGTGTCAATTCCAGCATCCAATTATTGTAATGAAGTTTTTAATGCTGAGGGATTTGTTAGGGTTTAATTTACCAAAATGGAGAAAAGTCACGGTTTATTCATTACTGTAAATCAGTAGCTTGATCTTATTTTTATAATTGCATTTAAGATTAGAGCCATAGAGAAACTTCTCAGCACTGTATTTTTCAGTTTATGTGTATATTGAACTGGGAAAAAAAAAAACCTGAATGATTACATAGAACTTGTTTAAGGAGCTCTGTTGACTTAGTTGTTTGGTTTGTTTAATATATGCCTCATATATCTGCAGTTCTTCCAGGGAAGAACGCTGCAATGGTTTCAAGCAGTCTCAGCTAATGAATCAGGCCAGCAATTAAGGCGGAAAAAAGTATTTAAAAGTGTTTATGTGCAGGGACCCTACTCAGCATTGAGTAGAAAGTTTCTGAACTCTTCTTGGTTTTGAATTTTTAACTACTTAAATATTGGTTTGGTTTTTTTTTTTTTACTTTCCATATTTCTGAAAGGTTTGACTGTAGAGAACAGCAGTATGAGGAAATGGCTGCGCAGTGGACTAGGTTTCACATAAATTCTTCTGTTTAGTTCCTTTAATTTTATTCAATTTTTAATATTTGTCTTCTGATCTTGAAATAAAAAGTGTAAGGGAAACAAGCTTTCTCTCTTGATCTGCTCATCATGCTGTTACAGCTACAGCCATTCAATGTACGTACACCAGGCCTTACAAGCCCCCTGTGTTGGGGGAAGTGGGGAACTTTGAATTAGGGTTCGGCAGAGTCTGCTCTATTTGCCTGGAGAATCGTAGCCAAAAGGGTGGGAAATGTTGGGCTTAATAGCATAGGTCTGTCAGTGATACTGTATGACAAATTTAGTTGATGTGGTTTTAATTCAACATCATGTGCCGATCCCTCTTTATGTATCTGCTTCCTACACTGTTACTGTATTCTCTGAAACTGCAGAAGCTGGGGCTAAAATCCTCATTAGTTGTCATTAGGTGTAGTGTTTTTTTTTTCATTAGAACAATGTACTACAACTGCCTGCAGTTAAGGTTTTTCACCTTTTTAGGTGATGATAGAAAAAATACATTTGGACTTGTTCAACAGCTAAAACAATAGCTTGTATGAAAATCTTGTAATGGTTTCAAAGTGCCTTTACTTGTAAATCTGTATTTTGTAATAAACAATTTGAAAGTATTTTAACCTGTGTTGCTCTATTTCCTGAGGGCTTTCTGTGGTAGTTTATTAAACAATACCTTCTGTCTGCATTTGCCATAAATCCGCTAGCACTTCACATGTTAGCAGTATGTTAATATTTGGTTGCCAAATCCCAAGTGCTGTAGTAAGATGTGGCCCTCAAGAAAATTTGTGGTTAGAGTGCAATTAAGCAGTGTGGGGAATTGAAACTGATTTTTCTCTTTAGTTTCCTGTTACGAAAACTTAAGAGTATTTTCTACTCTGACTCATGGAGGGTTTTTTTGTTATTTGGTGTCTGGGGAACAGCAAGAGCTGAAGCTGGGAACACAAAAGGAGGTGCTGTGAAGGAATGTGATTGTTTAAGAAGTGTGGGGATTGCAGCTGAAACGTGTCTAAATCTGTCTCAAGGCCAAAGAAACTGACTTTATTCTAATCTCCAAAGTTTACAATAAGCATATAACCTCTCACTCAAGTAGCAGTTCTTGACAAACAGGTGTCAGATTAACATGAGAGAAACTCATAAAACTTTCCAACTTCCTCGAGTGCCCGGGAGTGCATTTGACAGCAGGTGAGTCACAGGTCGTGATGGTTGCAGTTCCCAAACTGCCTGCAGCCCATGCTCACAGCTGCCCAGCTCCAGGTAATGCTCCCTGCCTGCTTTTATGCCACAAATGCAATGAGATCCCTCTTGAATGTTGTAATATTTTCTTTTTTTTTTAAATGAACATTCCAGATGTATTGGGCCTCTGGACAAGACACATGTCCTTAAACTCCTCCTCTTCCCCAAAAAGCTCGTTAGGTACAATCTGGGTATTGAGCTATACAGGGCAGGTTTTGAGGTGGAGGTACAGCATGGACAGGTGATGAATTACTCCTTAAAAGAACAAGCACCGGTGACATTTGGGTGTAACTTCAGTCTGGGAGAGGGAAAATGGAGAAGTGTTAAGACTGTTTTATACAGTGGTGGTCCTTAATGGATCTGGCCTGTTCTGGTCTCCTAAGGCTCCTTCCGAGAAGAGGAGTGTTTCCCATAATGGGTGGGACCGGCTCTCAGCCAGTTTCGTTTCAGATGCTGAGGGTAGAGTACTGACAGAAATCTTGGGAAGACCCAGAGGGAGTGGAGAGAAACTCTCTGTCACAAGAAAAGCATGCAGTGAGCATTAAGTGCACTTCCTAATGAGATGAGAAAGCAAAATACTCACTTACAAAAGTAAATTACTGTAGCATGACAGTAGAACATGTAAGCCCTGCTACATATAGACACCTCAAAAAAAGCCTAGAAAGGGCTTTTTGTTATTAAGATGATGATTTTTTTTTTTTTCCTGCATCTCTAAAATGTGTGAAGAGAACACAGCAATTCCCAGAAATGTATTGCGGTGGGTTGACCTTGGTAGGAGCCACACTCACAGTCCACCTCCTCAGCAGGACAGAAAATAGGATGGAAAAAGCTCATGGGTCAAGATAAGGACAAGGAGATTGTTCACCAGTAACTGTCATGGGCAAAAGACTAGAATTGGGGAAGGTTAATTTAATTTATTGCCAATATCCTACTCTAAGAATAGAGTAGGATAACAAGACACAAAAGCAAAACTAAAGACACCTTCCCCCACCCTCCCCTTTTTCCCAGGCTCAATTTCATGCTTGACTTTTCTATCTCACTCCACAAGCAGCGCAGGGGGAGGAAGAATGATGGTTTGGGTCAGTTTGTAACACTTCATCTCTGCCGCTCCCTCTTCATGCTCTGCCCCTGCTCCAGCACAGGGTCCCCTCCATGGGCTGCAACTCCTGCTAGGAGCCTGCCTCCTCATGGGCCACAGCATCCTTAAGGGCATCTCTGGCAGGGGGTCCTCCATGAGCTGCAGGTGGTTATCTGCTTGTTGTGGGCTGCAGGGGGAAAGCCTGCCTCGCCATGGTCTTCTGCATGGGCTGCAGGGGAATCTCTGCTCCAGCACCTGGAGCACCTCCTCCGCCTCTGACCTTGATGTCTGCAGGGCTGTTTCACATATTGTCTCACCCCTCTCTCTCCAGCTGCAGCTGTGCAACAGTGGGTTCACCTTGGAGCCAGCTGGAGCTGGCTCTGTCTCACATGGGGCAGCTTTTGGTGTCTTCTTGCAGAGGCCCCTGCAGCCCTTCTGCTGCCAAAACCTTGCCATGTAATCCCAACGCGGGTGCATACTGCTGAGGGGTAACGTGTAACCTCGCCCAGGAGGCCCTGCAGCATCGCGGTAACTGCAGCTCATGCTGGGCATCGCAGAACTGCTGAAGTGCAGAGGGAGCTCAGAGGTGTATGGGGGTCTGGATCTCCTGGGACATCCTTGTTGGTGCTAGTGACGGCAGAGGAGCAGTGGGCTGTCTGCAAGGCACAACCAGAGTCCCTGAGGTGGCCAGGAGCAGTGAGTGGGTGAGTGGGCTGCCCCCAAAGCTGTGCTGGTGCAAACACCTGGTCCATCGGTGGCACCAAGGTGTGAGCTTCACACGGGCCAGGTGCCTCTCTGAGAAGGCTGTCAGGGATGTATTGAGGCAGTGGGATTTTGCCACCTGCACTCTGTGAGGTCTGTATCTTGGCAGCCAAAGCCTCAGGCCCCTTCTGAGGCCTTTGTGGCTTTTGCAGCAGAACTGGTTTCACAGATGTTTGGCGATACTTGTGGACACCATACCTGGAAACCAGCATGCGTGGCTCTGTGTTGGCTGTCGTGTCTGGTTGTCATGGCTGTGAAAAACTGAGTCTGGCAGCTGGGATGCATCTGGTGCCATTGCCTGTCGTGTCTTGGGAACAAGATCTTGAAAAAACTGGGTTTGTGTCTTCAGCAGTGCTGTTTGCAGGCACAATTTGAGGGTGACAGTATTGTGGTGTCATGTGTGTTGGGAGCAGCCTCGTGGAGGCTGAAGTCTGTGACCCAGCTGGGATTCAGGATGAACGGGCCCTGCTGGTGCTGGTTTCCGGGTATTTACGTCTGAATCCTTCACAGTAACTGCTGCTGTGGGGGCATCGCTCCGCTCGCTCCAGCGGCTCAGCCTGTTCGATCGCTCCACTGCGCTTTTTTGTGAAAAACGGCCTGTTTCAGCAGACGATCTCCTACCTCGGGCGGGGCAGAGGCGGCCCCCTCAGGAACAAGTCCCTGTGAGCTGCTTTACAGCACTAGCGCGGGCACTTTGCGGGTGCCCCGCCTCCCTGGGCTGCCGGCGGAGGGGCACGGGGAGGCCTTACCGGTGTCGGCGCTGGGAGGCCCGGCGGCTGGCGAGGGCTGCAGGTCTCTCGGGACATTGTGCCTGTGGTTTGCCCTCCAAACTCCTCCGAGCCGGCGCCGCCCCCGGCTCTCAGCCCACCAACGACCCCCCTCCCGCTCCGCCGGCAGGCCCTGCCTTGCACCGGGGGCCCAGCCCGCCCCCAGCCCCGCCGTGAGGGGCCGCCCCGCGCGGCGCTTCCCGCCCTCCGGGTGCTGACGTCACGGCGGCGCCAGTGTCCCCGCCGAGCGGTGCCGCGCTGAGGCCAGTGGCGCGGGACGTGAGCGGCTCCGAGCGGCGCCTGCGCGGCGGCGGGATGGGGAGCCCGGCGGCGGCGGACTGGGGCGCAGCTCCCGCCAAGCGGACGCGGCGCGAGGGTTACCCTGAGGGGTGGCGGGGCCCGGCGGCGGAGAGCGACCGCTGCGACCCGCGGCTGTGGGACACGGAGCGGCTCTGCCAGTACCTCTCGAGCTGCGGCGGGGGCGATCCCGACCTGCTGCGCCGCTTCCGAGGTAACGGCGGGGTGGGGCCGCGCCTGGGGCCGGGCAGCCCCTGGGGGGGCGGTCGGGCCCCGCTGCTGATGCTGTGCTTGCCCCCGCAGAGAGCGGCGTCACCGGGAGCATGCTGCTGGACCTGCAGGCTTGCGCCTTCGAGATCACCGGCGTCTGGTGAGAGCCTCCCCCGCGGGGTGGAGGGGCGATGGAAGGTGGCCCCGGCTCTCGGTCCCCTCAGGCGGCCGCGCCGTCTGTGGGTGAGCGGCCAGGTCCGCCGGTCTGACCGGCCCTGAGGGGACCGCCCCACGGTGGGAACGGTTTCTCCTTTAAACCAGGAGGGGAGTGTTTGGCGAGGGGCTCCCCCGCGGTGGGGTCCCTGCAGGTCGTGGGGGCTGCTGCAGGCGGGTCCGTGCCTGGCAAGACCCCGTCCGCAATGGCCGACAGGGGAAGAAAGGCGTTTCCACACCCAACAGGATGGCTTCGTCGCCTTCCCACCCCGTATGCCCAAGAGCTCGGGTGTAAGGACCGTCAGAGTGGGTGCACATGATAGAACCGGCTCTGGGTGGCTGATCTCGGATCCTCCAGAACAGTTTACCAGTTCCCCTGCTGATCCCAGCACAGCCGGTATCATTCAGAGCATAGAAGCTAGTGGTCCAGTAACCATGAGAAGGAAGACAAATCCATTTTAAAAAGCCTTAGTGAAAATACCACTGGTAGCACAATAACCTTTTAAGTGTTAATATCAATGTAAACTCCAGGGGTTTTGATGAGAACTTTCAGCCTAAAGTTAATGCTGCTCTGACTCTAGTAATGACAGTACCAGCAATTTCTAAAATAGTGAGTAGGCACTGCTTTGTGAAAACTGGGTTTTACCCATCTCCTTGAGACAAATGCTGGGTGTTGAAATTTTAATCTTGCAAGAGTTGCTGGGACTTTGCTCTTTGTTGCATCTGCTACAATAGGGTGGACTGTTAGGGAAAAAGAGGTTTTGGTGACACAATACACGCCTGTTGGCGAGTGGCAGTGTTCAGTGGGCACCGTGAGCTGCCCCAGCAGTTGGCTGTGGAGAGCAGGCAGCCTGGCACAGTCTCCCTCCCAGCCTGGTAGCAGTCACCTGAGACGAGTACAGGAAAACTGAATGCTGCCTTAAAGCACGTAAAGGGTTGTTCACAGCAGTGAGGGAAATGACAGGCCCCCAAAACCTTGTCATTTTTCTCGCGGTGAGTATATTTTCTTGTGCTGCTGAAACAGAAGAGAGTATAAATGTCTCCTGTCACCCTACGTTTCTGAAGGGGCCGCACTGTCCCTTTTCTGCCCCACTGGGGTCAGCTCTGCTCACCTCTTGTGGCACATAAGCCTGCATGCTCACCACTTCCTTTCAGTCTTCAGGAGTGTCTTTTCCTTACTCCTTGCTAACCTTGTTTATGCTATTTCCTCCAATTTTCTCTCAAAACCAACTGTTCTGCATAAGCTGTTTGCTAATGTTGTGGTTAATGGACCTAAGGTAGTTTGGAGTGTGGTTATCTGGCAGGCACACACAAGTGCAGAGCTCTGCTTGTCTTTCTGTAGGGAGTTCTGAGTACTTTGGTGTGGCTTTGAGTACTTTGGTGGGTTGGCTCCTTAGCTGAAAGCTTGTCAGAGCTCACGCTGTGCCGAGGATGAAAGGCCATAGGATGAGGGGTAATGGTTTTAAACTGGAAGAGGGGAAACTTAGATGAGATCTCAGGAAGAAATTCATTGCTGTGAGGGCGGTGAGACCCAGGCCCAGGTTGCCCAGAGAAGCTGTGGCTGCCCTGTCCCTGGAGGGGTTCAGGGCCAGGTTGGAGGGGGCTTGGAGCAACCTGGTGTGGTGGGACTGGGTGGTCTTTAAGGTCCCTTCCAAACTGAACCATTCTATGATTCTGATGTCTGTTATATTGAGACATCCCAGATTTGCTCACAGATTGTGAAAGGTGAGTTGAAAGAGCAGGCCTCTGGGTGTGGCCATCAGCAGGAGAAAGAAAAGCTCTTGTGATGCAGGGTGACAAGGCAGAAGGGTTGCGCTTTAGATGAGGTAAGATGTTGGCAGGAGTCGTTAATGTATCTTTTGGGTTTATTTTGAAGAAGGGTTTTGACTACAGCTGTTTAAAGTGTTCAGATAGAAATATCATGAGGAAGGCAGCTAAAGGCTTTATTTGTTTCTGAAGTATTAGGTAATTGTCTAATTGAAATAACAAGCAGATGTGTAGTTTTCTGTTTAGAGGCTCCCAGGAGGCTGGTTGCTTTTAATACCTCGCCAGCTCGAGTACCTTGAGCATCGAGTGTCCATGCAGGCGCTCAGATACACCAAACATCTGCAGGCTGGTCAGGCTCTGCCAGTGCTGAGTGTAGGCAGGATGGGGGACCCAGGAAGTCCCTCTAAGCCTGGGTACTGCCGATGGAGTCAAACAGCTGTGTAGAGCTCTCAGTTGGTGTGGAGAGTGGATGACACTGGGGGTATGGAGTGATGTGCTTGTGGGTTTTCTTTTAGAAGGTGTTTCCTTTGGTGAGATCTGACATCTTGTTTTTGTTAAGCTGAAGATGCTGTGAGTTGAATGAGAAATTGTTAGAGCCTTCTGTTTTTTCAAACCATCTCAGCTTTGCACTAAGGAATGATCCTTTTGCATGTGTCTTTCCACTGCATGCTGTGTCCTACAGTAATTTTCATCATTTCTCTGTGACAAGCTGCTAATGAATGCATATATTTAGTTCCCTGCCATTCCTGGACGTTCAGTGGGGAGAGCTTCAGCCAGTGGGGGCCTGAAGGCATTGCTATGGATTTCCCACACATTCTCACGTTCCTTGGGAGTGGATGTTGTGTGTGGTATGTGGCATGCTCTGTGTTAAATACAGGTGATGAGTAGGGCTGTCTGGCTGACCTCTCTGGAGTAATCAAGTTCCTAAAGGGTGCAGGAAAGGAGTTTTCTCATCCTCAACATCAGTGGCATGAGGGAGGGTGTGGGCAAGGCAGGGGAGGGATAGAGGGGAGTGGATGGGGAAGTGTCAGTTCTTACACTTTTAAAGGCATCCAGCAGTATTGCTGCTTTGGCTGTTGGAGGAATTAAGCCTGCAGAGCCCTGGAAAACCACAGTACTACATGTGATTTGTATGTAAACTCTTGGTTAAGGCAGTCTTACCATGTAGACACCAGGTGAAAAATCCCCTGCTGGTGTTTTCTTTGTGAAAACATAGCTCTCTCTAGTGATCAGTCATGCCAGTACTCTATTGACAGTGTGCTTTGTTATCTGGAGGCCAAACCAAAAACAGGGGTTAGTGTTCCTGGAGGTGGGGCAAGATGACAAGACACGCAGGCCACTGAGGTGGCATGTCAGGTGGGGACTTCCCAGCCTCCCTGGTCGGGCCAATTACTTTTGCTGCTCTCTCACCCATTATCAGCACCAATCCGGCCCAGGGTGTGATACAGCACAGAGGGCTGTGTTAGCACCATTTAGTTCAGCCCTGCTGGAGGTTTCTGGAGCAAAGGCACACACCTGGCTGTGCTCTTTGTGGACGACGTTTGCATAGGTAGTTGTTTAATAAACTGTACTGAGCTGTCCTTTCTCTGCTGCTCCTGTAGTTGCAGTCGTTGGTAATTTCTCAAGATGGCAGGTGCCTACACGTCTTCCTCCTTACATACCTGACTAGTTTCTTGCTGATTTTCTTCCAAATCTGGATTTTTGTGGCATTTGAAAGTATAATGAAGTGCATCAAACCAACAGGCTTGAAGTGGTGCTGTACCTCAGCGCTCAGCAGTGCTATCCCTTGCTTAACACTGGGTGCTGCTTTACACTGCCTCACCTTCTCAAAGACGTCAAGTCTTACCTCGTGTACTTCGCGTGATTCAGAGTATCTTTTTGGGCAATTGTTATCTGAGGTCTGCTGCGTGACTCAAGTGGTGCTACTGTGCCTCTTGCAGCATTGCAGTTCATTCAAAAACATGCTTGTGATCTTTGATATCCATTATTAGCGTGCTTTGAAGTGATATCCACTGAAGACCTTAGCCATAATTAAGAACAAGGGGATCATCTCTGTACATCAAGTTTAGGTTTTAATATTTCAAGTCTGCTAGAGCAAAGATGCCCTAGTCCAGATGTGGTTCTGCATGTTAGGTGTCTTGAGAGAGAACTTTTCCACAGAAGTAAAATCAATGTAGATGGCTGGAAGCAGATCACTTCTGAATTTACTGTCCCTGAACCGTTTTTGAGGATGGTGGTAGAGATGTTCGGTTACCAGCCCAGGTGCTAGTCCTACCTGAGCTGGCCATACCTGTGGTCAGAAAGGTTACATGTTTCTTATAAGCAGCAGTTGAACATTCTTGGTCCCATCTTCAGGACAGACCTCAAAGGGCAGTTGCTTTTTCTGGGAGTGTAAGGATAGGTGCATACAAGCTTCTGGTTTGCTGGCCCCAGAAGAGTTTCTCAGCTCTTCCACCATGCCAAAGTTCATGTTCTCTTCTTAGCAGAAAGCAAGAAGGATGGGCACATGCCCATTCTCTTGTCCTCAGTGTTAGCTGCTTTCTCTTGTCCTGTAAATAGTGGGATCTTTCAGGATCTGGGGATTTTTGATTGTTCCTACAGACTGAGCTGCTTGGGATGTGGAGTAACACACTGGTCTGCAAAGCATCACCTTTGGTGCTTTTTATTTTGCAAGTGGCGGCAGCAGGAGACTTGTGACAGTCTGATCAGGAGGCAGAGGCTGCAGCCTGGGAGCTTCCTGTTAGGGGCAGGGATACTAAGTGGTTAAGACAAAAAGTGCTCATCAGCAGCTCAGACACCATATGTGTTTAATATTTTATGGATTGTGTATTATTAAATGTTTCAGATGAAAGTATGTAGTCCATCTGGGAATATTTTTTTGTAATAATTGACATTTTATGGTATTAATTTTTTCTTAAAGTTTAAATTGAAAGACTGATGTAAAACTGATCTCAGGATGGTTAACTGCTGAAGGGCATAAAAGGTAACAAATTGTACATCCCTGTGATAAGGTGTTTGCTGTCATAGGGAGGCTGAAACCATTCTGCTCAAGGACAAGACTTGCAGGGTTAATGAAAGTGGCTGCAATAGTGTTATCTCTCCTTCCAGACTTGTCCTGCCTGTGTATTTATATCCTGGTGTTTCTATTTCTTGGTTCTGTAAACATGGGAGAATCACTTACACTGGTTTACAGAGAACTTCTGTACCTATTTGTTATCTTCTTTCTCTACTTTTGAAGACTAAATGCTTTCACTGTTTTTCCCAAAAAGCTGCATAAATATGTATCTCTGTAAAAGAGTCAATGGATGTCAGAATAATATGAACTTCTACGAGTAATTCCATATGTACTGCAAATTGTAAAGGGAAATGCATTGCAAACTGCTCTCAATGTGTTTTTTTCCTTTCTAGCCGCCCAGCTGAGAGACTGCAAGTGTTGGCCTGCCTGAACAAACTGAGACAACAGCATGTGGACGTGATGAAGGTAGCGCCGGTGTGGGGAGGACACTGCTTCCAGGGCCTCTCCCTCTCTTTCTGCCTCCCATCCTTGCTTGGTGGTGCCAGCTGGTGCTGTGGTGGTGCCTTGCCTTTGCAGAGCTCTTCTTGATAGCAGGTGGTCTTTGAAAAACCACATTAACCAGAAAAATCGTTAAAATCTTCATCTAAGAGCTTGATGTGGGCACCTGGTGGTTGTGAGAGTTTGAATGAGCAGATGAGCTGTTTGAAATGTGTTGAGAAGCTACCCTTTCATGGCTTTCATTGTCTAGAGCCTCCTGTTGGTTTAGCCCCAGGCCTGTGTTAACAGACTCCTCACTCCGCTGTTTGCTGTGTCCAGCAGTTTCTCACAGTGGTCTCTGTAGTTTTAACTCAGTCCTGGGCCGCACCTGGTCCTTAGTTCTCTGCCCATCTGCTAGAGCTGTGTCAGCTCAGGGACTGAGAGTAAAGAGGAAAACCATAATTGCTTCGGTATTTTAGCAAGATATGTGTGTGATGAAATGGTTTTATCTGCTGTTTTGAGGGAAGGATTAAATGTGTGTTTATCTTCTCCAGTAAATCACTGTAGTTACTCAGATGTCTCTTAAAGTGTGTGCTTAGGGATGATGGGGAGTATTAATGCAAAACCTGAGATAACTGAAATATGCAATATTGTTTGATGAAAAAGGTACGAATAGTTATTTCCACTCTGCAAAATTTACGTGATTTTTAAAAACATGAACAATATCAAACCAAACACTTCGTGTTGCATATCTCAGACATGTATAGCAGTATCCTGCTTTAGCTGGAATAGCAGTTTAATAAAGACAGTGGTTTTCTCACGTGTTAAGTTTTGGAATTACACAGGTGCAGATTACATTTTTAGAGATTTTGACTTCAGTTCCCTTGCCCTCTGAAATATGCAGCTTTGTCTTTTTTGATGTCATGCGTAAGTAGTTCTCCAAGATAAATCTTTGTATAGGATAGGCAGGATATGGCTGTTTTAAGGGCAGAAGCAAAACAGTTGCCTTCTCCCACCAAATACCCCACAATTCTAGAAAGGATTCACAATATCCTTTACCTTGGTGTCTGTTTCTTTTCAAATTTAAAATTTAAATGTTAGTTACACTATTGTTTGGCTTTTATAGGTTTTTAACGATCCAATTCATGGGCACATTGAAATACATCCCCTTCTTGTTCGTATCATCGACACTCCTCAGTTTCAGCGCCTCCGATACATTAAGCAGCTTGGTGGCACTTACTTTGTTTTTCCTGGAGCCTCTCACAACCGTTTTGAGCACTCTATAGGGTAAGGTGATGATGTCTTGCATTCGCATCTCTTGCATTTGCATTTCCTTGAGTTTGGTTCCACTGACAAGGAGTGCCAGCCAGGAGCCATCACTGTCTTTCAGCTCTGGTGAAAACTGCTATCGTGGCATTTTTTGGGTCCCACAAATGTTTCTGGATATCCTGTGTGATTATGGTCTGTTCCCTTGAACTTCATTTAGTAAGGACAGATAAAGAAACCTGCAAGATGGATCAATGTTAGATTTCCTCACCTTCTTCTAACAATAATGTTAACTAAAAACTGTGAGTGCTTTATGTTCTCCCTGGTCAAAATTTGAGTTTTAAAGCATAAACGTAGGAAGGGTACCTGGGCTACTATAAATGACCTGCCAGACAGTTGTAGTCCTCTTATATTGTCTAGTACAGCTAAAACCCATTTTATCTATAATGTTTACATTTGTAGTTGTGTGCTTTATGCAGTTGATGGCAGGTTGTGGGGCTGTTAGCTGTCTCATAAGTTAAACAGTAACTAACATGGACATGAGGATTCCCATAATGACAAATTTATGCTTGTTTTAAAGGTCTGTTCCAAGTTGCAGAGGAATTAAACTAGTCAATGGTTTTTATTCAGATGATCTGGCCAGCCTAAAGTTGCTTTTGTTAGTGCTGAATTATTGTGGAGTAAGTCTGGCTTCTGCCCTTGCTCTGTGACACTAACAAAATACAAATGGCTATTGCAAAAGGGTCAAATCAGTGAGGTAAGTGGGAATTGATTGCACCTGGTAAATCTGAAAAGACAAAGATGTGAGGGATATAAATGAAGCTTTCACAACAGGGATCTGAAAACTCCAATGATATCAACAGCCTTTTCTTTCAAACAGTTCAATTAATTTATATAGTTAAACTTAGGACAGTTGTTCTCAACTCGCACATCTTTTTTTAAGATTTCTATAGTCTTAAAATAGAAGTAGTGAGCTTTGTGTACTTATTGGTCTAGTAAAAAAAACACCAAAAAGTAAAATCTGGTCTAATAATAGCTGCTACCTTGTCATATAGAACCTTGTCTTGCTTTAAGATATTCTGCAATGGGGGCACACAGAATCATCATGGTTGGAAAGGACCTCTGAGATCACCGAGTCCAACCATACACACACACAAAACCCCTTACAATCTGGGGCACTAGAGCATGCCATGAAATGCCACATCTACATGTTTCTTAAATACCTACAGGGATGGTGACTCCACCACCTCCCTGGGCAGGCTGTTCCAGTGCCTGACCACTCATTCAGTAAAGTAATTCATCCTAATCTCCTCTGCCACAACTTCAGACCATTTCCTCTGCTCCTGTCATTATTCCCTTGGGAGAAGAGGCCAACCCCCACCTCTCTACACCCTCCTTTCAGGGAGTTGTAGATGGCAATGAGGTCTCCCCGCAGCCTCCTCTTCTCCAAACTAAACATGCCCAGTTCCCTCAGCCTCTCCTCGTATGACGTGTTCTCCAGACCCCTCACCAGCTTGGTGGCTCTCCTCTGGACACGCTCCAGCACTTCCAATGTCCTTCCTGTAGTGAGGGGCCCAGAACTGAACACAGCACTTGAGGTGAGGCCTCACCAGTGCCCAGTACAGAGGCACCATGACTTCCCTCCTCCTGCTGGCCATGCTATCCCTGATACAGGCCAGGATGCTGTTGGCCTTCTTGGCCACCTGGGCACACTACTGGCTCATGTTAAGCCGGCTGTTCACCAACACTCCCAAGTCCTTTTCTGCTGGGCAGCTTTGCAGCCACTCTTCCCCAAGTCTGTAGCGTTGCCTGGGGTTGTGGTGACTATTGGGGCAAATAGACAAAGAAGTCAGTATAGAGCTTCTAAACAGTTTATAGGATTGTGCCCTACGTTCCTGCTGTTTTCGTATCTTGAGAATAGAGGGTCCCATTCAGTGAAATTAAATGTCAAATCTAAAATGAATGAAAGGAAGAGAAATAATTGTCATAAGCTATTATTAAACAAGCAACTTGAAGAACAGAATGCTTTGGTGACTGTTGTGGACGTTTGCAGTCACACTGACTGTAGTCAAAGGATGATGTGTAACTCTGGTACTTCAAGATGCATGCTCTCAGTGATGCACTGCTGTTCCCTTACACAGGTTCTCCATGGCTGTGCTTTATGAAATACTGTGCTGTGCTTTATGAAATACTGCAGGTTGCTGTATTTTTTGCTTTCAAATGTGTTACTGATGACTAAAACTCTACTGCGGGAAATAGTTTGTTTCTGTGATTCTCTTGCAACTTGGGGCTTGAGTATTTGTTGTGTGCTGCCTCTCAGACAATGGCTGTGACTTAATGGAGCAACATAGAATAGCTGAGCTGCTCTTTTTCTTTTCAGCCTAAAACACTACTATATTTTTTTTTTTTTTTTTTTTTTTTTTTTTCCTTTTTTTTTTTCCTCCCTGCAACAGGGTAGGGTATCTAGCAGGATGCCTGGTTCGTGCACTGAAGGAGAGACAACCTGAACTGGATATAACTCAGCGAGATATCCTCTGTGTAGAAATTGCTGGGCTTTGTCATGATTTGGGTAGGTAATACTTCAGATGGCTTCTTGTTCTCTGAAAGCTAACCTGGATGAAAAGCTGACTGCAAGATCAGAATGTGAGAGCAGCTTTGGATTGCTCATTGTGTGGCCACATTCTGAGACAGGTTTTATTCTGTTCCTTTTTGGTTCAGAGTACATCTGTGGAGGCAAGTCCACTAGGTGAACTTGTAGCTGCTTTTAGCTGTTTTTTTTTTTTTGTCTTGTTTCCATATGGTGTTTAGAATTCTGCCCTCAGTGGCTGAAGTGTCTGTTCCTTCTGTGATGTCCTCAGGCATCTTAAAACGTTTCAGAGTGAAAATTGGTGGCTGTTTCAAGAATTGTTATGATTATGTTATAACTAGTTATTTTCTTCAGAGCTGGCATGAGGTAATTACTGTACTCAGTGTTACTGCAGTACTTGCCTGCAGTGTAGGTGATGGAACTGGCATTAAGTGCAGTAGTACTGAAAGTGCCACTGATAGTATACTTACTATAGCTGAATCTTCCTTGTAGGTGATGTCAAGATAAAGTCAAATATGAGAGATCAAACCAGATCCTTAGCTTGCTCAAAATACTTCTACTGACAAGCATGTCTCAGATTAAACCTGAGTAATCTTTATTTTTAAGGTCATGGGCCATTTTCACACATGTTTGACGGAAGATTTATTCCACTCACTCGTCCAGATTTGAAATGGAAGGTAGGCTTTCGCTATTTAAGTAAAAATAGAAAACTGAAATTTTTAAAGGGAGGATATTTGATCTTTAAAGATTGCCATTGCTTGTGAGAACATAGTGATCATCTAGCCTTTTCTTATTGCAGCATTTTGAGGGCATAACCAGAATGTTGTCTTCTAATCTTTTTTTTTGTTCTCTTTAACTGTTTGTCTGGGGAGTGTCAGTGCGCTCAGGGTGACCGTGAGCAGATACAGCCTTACTTTGCTAAAGCAGAAAGAGGTGTGGGGAGAAGTGAGGGCAAATGTTTGTCACCAGCATCTCTTCCCTGAAAGTGCCAAAGGTCTTGAACTCCTGTGTACTTTCATGAGATCCGTTTGTGTATGCGTGTCATCTTCCTGCAGATGTCACGCCAGGTGAGGAGAAATGAACTGTCTCGTCTTGTCAGTGCCTGTAGTATGCCTCTGAAGAGGCAGAATTTGTTGAGACTGCGCTGATCATTTTAAGCCAGCATTGGCCTTTCTTCAGAGTATATTTTACAGATGTAAAATACCAACTTGGGGCTTCCTTTCTGGTTTAAGGCCAGAATACTTAATATGGCATTTAGAATTCAAACTTTCAGAAACTTTGAACAGCATTTCAAAGGTTGTTTGCTGAATGAATTGTAATGCAGTCCTTTCAGGCCTCTCTCCGCTTACAGTTGCTAAGCGAAATCAGCTGAGTAAACCTGTTACTCTGCTTTGCAGAACTGGTTATTTTGTCATTTAGTATTGTAACTGTCTTACTGTTTGTTAAAATTTTAAATTAACAGCTCTCTGCTGAAGAGTGTGTTCCTGGACTCTGTAGATTTCCTGTTTGGTTAGATAGAAAATCACCCAACTGCTGCACTTTGAGACCACCGTGCCCAGGAGAGAGGCAGTGCTGTTGCCAGGTTAAGAGAAAGCTGTGTTACTGCAGGAAAGATGTTTAAACTGTGTAATGTAATGGTTAGGTGTTTTTTTCCGCAGCATGAAACTGCTTCTGTTAAAATGTTTGAGCACCTGATCACTTCCAATAAACTAGAAGGAGTCATGAAGTCGTATGGTCTTGTCCTGGAAGAAGATATGAACTTCATCAAGGAACAAATAGGAGGGCCTATAGAGGAAACCGCTTGTGGGAAATCGGTGAGTCAGTGTACTGCTCCTGTGGTTATCCCAATAAATGTCTTTACTTTTACTGAAAGAGTAGATAATTTTTGCTTCTGCTATGTTTTATTATTTATTTTTACCTCCATGAAATTACAAGAATCCTGACACAAGAGATGCTAGAGAAGTGTAGTGTTTATTTCTTACAGCGCTGGCAGGAGGTGGTCGCTTCATTAAATTATGTGCTTACATCTTCCTGAGAGGTTCTTACCTGAGAGTCTTCAGATTAGAGGAAAGCTTCAGAAAGGTTCACTAAATAAAAATAACAAACTCACTGTACCTAGTTTGGTAGCCTGAATTTCTAATGGAAACCCTAAATGAGTGGGCTAGGATAACAGCCTATTTACTGTATGCCAGAAGGCGGTGGTAATCGGTGGTGCTGTTCCCAGATGGCCCTGTGAAGAAGACATAGTGATAGTTCAGGGTAACGAGCTGACGATGGATAGCAAAACTGAGAACTGGCAGAGATGAGGTAGTGAGCAATGCAGAGTGGGGCCCAAGTGACAGAAACACATCAGAAACAAAATGTTTGGATTTATTGCGGTACTAAACACAGAGGCAGGGATAAGACTTGAAGAAATGTGTTGCCTCAAGAGGCAAGGAAGACGAGATCGTGATTATTACTCCTTGCAAGTCTGAAAGAATTAAGTCCTCTCTCCTCACTTTACAGTTCTTGTCATCTCTTCAGGGACACCCATTCAGTTGCTAGCAGAATTAAGAACTCATCAGTAGCAGATCTGTCATGACAATCTGGTTCTAATCAGAATTTGCATGTTGCCCCAAACAAACAATCCACAAGTATTAGCACTTCCCATTATTTTCTGCTATAGTAGCGTGTGGTTCTACCATGTGCACTCCAGCACTCTGGTGACAAATGTAGGGCACTTAGCATAATGAAGTACAGTCTGAGATCTTGTAGGAAGGGGATATTAATTTACCCATCTGCAAGCTGATTTTTACCCACTTTCACTCATTTGCATACAAATCTTGCTGGCTGCCACTTCTGTTGATCTTGTGCTGGGTTTGTACCCAACATCTGTTCTTCCTTGTGTGGATTCTGTGCCTGTTTCCCAGCAGGATAACAGGAAAAGGAGTGTCACGGATGATACGTGGCAACCTTCTTGTCACCTTCCTGGTGTTAGGCTGCACCAGCGACTACCAGTGGAAGGTGCTGCTGTGGTGTCTCAGCAGAGTATGGGCTCCGAGGCATCTGTGCCATGGTGCTGCCTGGTCCTGACGTGAACAAGGGGCTGTTAATGCATTGGCCATAAATGGTGCTCTCAACATTGTCCCAGTAGCAGAGCTCTTTGTGATCAGCACAGGATGTTTTTATCTGTGATGTGCTCTCTTCCCAGTGCTTGCACATTTCCATTCTTATTCATATAAATTTTAATATTTGTGTAATGCAGGTAATGTGAAAGCCATTTATCTGGCACTTTTTGTTTAGCTGAAGAATCATTAAATTTTCAAGAAATTAACGTTTATGTGTAACTTGTGTCTTAATATTTTGGCATTGATTTCCTGCTTCCTCATGGCTGAATTAACCCTTGTGGGTTAGGAGTTTTAAGTAGCAGGCTGTTTAAACAATTTTTGTTTAAAATATGTAACAAATTGTTTTAAAACTCTATTCTATACAGTTCTGTAGTTGATTGCAGAAGGCTGCAAGAAAGTGACATGTTTGTGGGTTTAACTGATTCCCTGAGGATTAAATGATTCGAACCTTTTCCCCTCTTTGTTACTATGCTTTTGTTTTTTTGGCATTTCAGTTTAGTAGAATGGGAAATGAAATAGTTGTGTATGTGGCTTTTATTCTTCCTGACATTCCAGGAAGTCATCTCCTTGAGCCCTGGTTCTGGATTTCTAATGCCCAACAGCTTCTGAAAGCCCTTTTATTGTCTTTGTGTTCTTTGCTACCTCAGTGTTGGATGTTTATCACAGGCAAAGTCAAAGTGTATTGCCTCTGTTTTTAAAAAATTGTATTGGCAATGTTTGCACACTTTAATTTCTTACTGTTTCTGAATTATTTTTTTTTCTTCTTCCCCTTCTTGGCTTCCCTGTTGTTAGTGGCCTTACCGTGGTCGAGAAAAGGAGAAAAGTTTCCTGTATGAGATAGTAGCTAACAAAAAAAATGGCATTGATGTTGACAAATGGGATTATTTTGCAAGGTAAAAATCTTAACAGTTTTAATTTTTATTATGAATTCCTACTGTAACAATGCTACTGTTTGTACAAGTATGATCTCATTGTTAAACGCTCTATGTGGAATATTTCTAGGGATTGCCATCACCTAGGAATCCAGAATAATTTTGATTATAAGCGATTACTTAAATTCACTCGGGTCTGTGAAGTAAAAAACCAGAAGCATATCTGTACGCGTGACAAGGTAAGCTGTGTGGGTGAACCGAGGGGATGCTCAGCAGCAAAATGTGTGTGAGGAGCAGCAGCACATGGAGAACACGTGGGGCATGGCAAAGCCTGCCTCGGGCTGCGCTCTGCACTGCAGGGGATGCTGCCATTGCCTGCAGGATGCTTTTTTTAGCCCAAGAGAGGAAGAAGTAGTTCTGAGAGTTCTCAGAAGCAACTGGTTTAGGAAGGGAGCAAGAGAGCAAGTCTCTATTTGAAGGGACTTGTAGCAGGCCCTGCCAGGGCAGAGTGCAAAGCCACCCATCGTGCGTAAGCCTGTGCTAGCTCTTCTTAGCAATAGATGCGTGTGGCTTTGGCAGGGGGCTGCAAGAGGTCCTCTTCTCCACCCAGGCTGCCCGGGGTCGCTGTCAGGCCTCTGCTCTCCCACAGCAGCCCAAGGCTGGTTCAAAATGTGTAAATTGTGAAAGATAACCATTCTGCTCTATGCTGCAAATGGAAGGAGACAACTCATTTGATTCCTTGATTGTTTTAGTTTTCCAATTGAGACAATGTCAAAAGTAAAAAATGATTGGATTTTTTTTGATTCAGGAAGTTGGAAATTTGTATGATATGTTCCACACACGGAATTGCCTGCACCGGCGAGCATACCAGCATAAGATTGGCAACATCATTGAAATAATGCAAGTATTATACTTTCCTTTTCTTGCATACCATTTATTTTTAAATTCTTGAAGCTGATTATCCATTTGAAATATTCAGATAATGTGTGAAAGGTGTGATACACAATAAAAGCCACTGGGCTATATAACCTGATTCTTGAGGCAAGGCTTAGTGCTTAGAGTATCACAGAGGCTGTGATTACAAAAAAAAAAAACCCCAAGCAACACAAACCAAAACCAAGAGGAGGACAACAACATCCTTCCACATGACATTCCCTTAGCAGAAACTTACTAGAACCCTGAAGAAGTGTAGAACCAGGGTGTGCTTATGCTGTTTTAACTGCCGAGAGCTGAAGTCAAATCTTCATCTACAACTTAGAGACCACTAAGCTCAAACTGTCTGGTTAGTAGAGCAAAGTGACTAACAGAGTAATGAGCAAACATACTAAAGCTCTACTGAGGCCTGGGTTTGTGTTTTTGGAATGCCACAGCTGGAATTGTTCAAGACCAGCTGAGCTGGCTGCCTGCATTTGTGTCTCTCTTGTTGGTGTCTACAGAAATTTCCCTATAGCATTACTCATTTTACTTTTCTTTAAAAGCAAAAAAACTACTATCCCCAAATAGTTTTTTGTTAGGATCTTGGCTTCTGAGTAACCATTATGCTGGGTTTGGAAAAAAAGAACACAGAGGATTACACAGTACAAGAGTGATTCGTGACTGTTTTCATATGCTTCAGCTCCTGGTTTAGTGATCCTCTAAAACTCAAGACTAAAAATGCTAGGGTTTGACAGTACCTTGTCCTTTGTGTATACCTAGTACCTTTGACAGTACCACAGTACCTACATGTGAGGAATAAAATGGCCAAGAAATTTAGATTTTGGCTTACCATAATTATAACAGCCTATGCAAATGAGCGTACAAGCTGGAAATGACAGCAAGAGCTACAGGGAACTTGGGAAGAACTTGATCATCAGGTTTTCACACCTGAAATTAACACATGTTCATGATGCTTTACCTTCAGAATGCTTTGTGTTGTCTCATTTAACTCCTGGACCAATGACTCTGTACAAGGATATGGTCATCTGTGAGGCAGTCTCATTGCAGCTGAGTGACCATGTCACTGTCTTGCAGGGCTCTGCAATCTAAGCAATGTTAAGCTCTGAAACAGAGCTTAGTCTGAAACAGAGCTTAGTCTGAAACAGAATGAAGTGTACTTGCTCATTCATTGAAAGAAGATTAAGGTCTGATTTGAACCTAATTTCAGTAAATGCAAAAATTGTTGAACTGTGCAATGACAGTGTGGAGACGGCATATTGCAGTGCAATCAGGGACTACTTTGTGCTTCAGATGCAGTTCCATCTGTTGTCCTCTATTTATAACATACTAATGCATTTCTTTTTTGGCTCTTTGGCAACATTTGTTTCAAAATGATGCTTTCTTTAAGTCTGAATTTTGTCTCAAACTAGGATTACAGAAGCATTACAAAAAGCAGACAAATTTTTAAAAATAGAAGGCTCTGGAGGAAAACTGTACCAGATTTCTACAGCAATAGAGGACATGGAAGCCTACACTAAGCTGACTGGTATGAGCTCTCAGATCTGTGGGTTTTCTTTTTTCTTTTTTCTTTTTTTTTTTTTTTTTTTCTTAAAGAAAAAGAACATGAGTACCTGTTAAAATGCTGGTTTTACAGCTGGGTCCTTGGTCCACTGCCCAAGCAGTACTGCTTCTGTGCACAGATGGTGGGGCAGACCTGGACCATCCAATCTCTGTGCTCTCATATCTTGCTGGGAGAGCAAGACCACCTAGTTTAAATTTTATGAGAGAGGAGAGGGGAGAGGATAGAGAAACTCGTTGGTTTTTTTTTTTTTTTTTTTTTTTTTTTTTTTTTTTTTTTCCTTAAAGCAAAAGAACATGAGTACCTGTTAAAATGCTGGTTTTACAGCTGGGTCCTTGGTCCACTGCCCAAGCAGTACTGCTTCTGTGCACAGATGGTGGGGCAGACCTGGACCATCCAATCTCTGTGCTCTCATATCTTGCTGGGAGAGCAAGACCACCTAGTTTAAATTTTATGAGAGAGGAGAGGGGAGAGGATAGAGAAACACCAACTTCTTATGTTCTTCACACATTCAAATTCAGATTATTGCAAGCAATGCTGTCACAATGCCTGTATGGATGTAAGTCAGGTCCATGGTGTAACTACATCAGGTAGAGAAGTACTGTATGTGTGCTGTAGTGTCAAACTAACCCCAAGGCAGGTTTCAAAGAGCTCTGATGCGGTGTGATTTGATTTGCCTGAGATTACCCTGCTTGCAAATATAACAGAAGAAAACAGAATATATGAAAACTTAGTTTACTGCTGCAAGCTTCTAGTTGCTCTGATAAGAGCTTGTGAGAATACTACTCTGTGTACTCACCCGATGACAACCATTCCTGCTTGAAGACATGTAGGGGAACACCAGTGTGATTACAGAGTGAAGCAAACAAGAGCTGAGACTTGTGGTGTTTTCAAGGAAGTATAGTCTGAGTGCTGGCATCTAATTCTCAAGGTATGGCTCAGTGCTGTGAAGAGGAAACACAGAGAAATTACTGAATTCATGGAAACTGGCTTGAGTTCTGGTGTTGTGTAGTTCCATGTCTTCACACCACCATCACATCTTGGTTTTGTCTGCTCCTCCTGGTCTTTGCTGTGTGGCACACCAGCATTCCTCTGGTTGGTGTTGTGGGGCAGGGCAGGCCCTGCTGCACTGAGGGGCTTGTGGTTGGGTGACTGCAGGGTAGAGGACACTGCAGACCCTGCTGAAGAGCGCTCCTGAGTACTGGCAGCTCTTGCGGTACCTGTGAACTACAGCTCATGAGGATTCCCAAGTCACCTCTCCTGAGTGGCAAGACAACTTTCCCGAGTTTCCAGCCTTGACTGGCCAACAGAGAGACTCAAGAAATCTTTGGTGTATGGATAAGGTAACAGGCTGAGAGCACTGTTGCTGTGTGCCTTAACCGATGTGGTGCAAAAGGCTGCCTGCTGGCAATCCTTCATCTGCCACAGCAACATTCAGCCTGACCTGCTGCTTCAAGAGGTTGAAGGGAGGCTGCATGGAGCACTGAGGTAAGGAGCTGCCTGGCCCCTCTGATGCTGTCTCTGCCCCAGGGAGGAGTGGCTGGCTCTGAGTGGCAGTAGTGATTGGAGAACATGAATTGTGGGGCTGGGCTGTGGAAGGCTGGGCAGAAAGGCAAAAAGAACTGAGATTATGTTCTTTGTGGGTAGGATCTGTTCCCTGGTGGCTGGCTGGTCTGTAAGATCAGCTGTGCTGGCAAGTTAGCACCAGGGTCCTGTTGTGACCACCTGCTGACCTGCAGTACCTGGTGGGGAGCACAGCTCAGGGCAAGGGTACCAGGAATGCTCCCTGCCTCTTGCTGTCTGCCACAGAAAGGAGCTACTCGCTGGTGCTGTGCTGTTCAAGAAGGTGAGTGATGCGAGGAATATGCCAACATCAGATGTAACAGTGGACCACAAAGGACGAGTATGTTCTCTTCCTCTTAAACCAAGGCACTGTCTTCCCTGCATCTGGTGGTTGCATCCATGGGGGCTTCTGAGAGGACAATAGGCTTGTTTTCAGTAGTCCATGACGAGTGATGCTTCTGTGAAACTGTCCGGTTGCCTCTTGGATCTTTACAAATTATAAACCTCTGTGAGGTTCTGCAGCAGAAAGTTCCCTAACTTTCTTCCATGAAGGGTTAGTTTTCAAGTTGTTGGCTCCTGATTTGACAGCAAATCCTAGTAAAGGATGAGATGACAAATTATTCCTTGTCACCACTCCTTTGCACAATGGATGTGTTCATGGGTTTCTTTTTCCCCTACATTATCTCTTCTCTCAATCTGAAGAGACCTAGTCTGTTGTTCCTTGTGAAGAGGTTCCTGACTTTGATCTCATTTGTCCATGGAAAAAAACAACCCCTCAGTTCAAGGTGTTTTGGTGCATGGCTCATAGTTTGCTTCTGGAGTGTGTTGGCAGCTTCTTATGCCAGGTGCGGTCCCAGGGGACCTGGGGAATGCAAATAGAGAGAGTGCAGCTACCTTGGTTGTGACAGGCGAGCAGCATCCTGGCAGCAGCAGTTTCTTTAGGACAGCCAGAAAGAAACTTTCTGCTCCAAAGCCACACCAAAAGAAACCTATGTCTTGCTGCTCCTATTGATGGTGGGAAACACCCTGTCACGTGGAGACAGGAGGGGGGACTTTGCTGGCATCCGAAGTCTGAGAAATTCTGAAGGTTTAACGGAAGTACTTAGAATACAGTACAGGATGGAGTACTCTTGTCTCTAAACCGATCGGTGCTGGGGTTTAAGATACTCTGCTGAACAAGAGGAAGCAACTTCCACTGGAATAATAAAACTTGTTGCAAGAGTGAGAATTGAGCTAGTTTTTCTGTCAACAACTGTTATGAATCTGATGATAATGAAGATGATGATGTGACTTCTCAGTTACCAGGCTTAGTATATTCAGTCATTCCCTGAGTGTGTCTTTCCTGAACCAGCAGTTTTTCTTGTTGCTTTAACCTTTGTCCCTGTACATGTGTTTTGCTGTGATTTTTGCTGGATTTTGACATAATTAATAAAAATTAATACAACTTTGGCAGATAATATCTACTTGGAAATCCTGCACTCAAGTTGTCCAGACCTGAAGGAGGCACGAGAAATTTTGCGTAAAATAGAACGGCGTGAATTATACAAGTTTTTAGGAGAAACTCAACCTGAAACAGCGAGGGAAGTTGTAAAGGTAATGGCCATTGGTGGAAGATTCTGAATTCTCTCCCTCTAAAAATGTTGTCCAAGTTGCTGAACATCTTTTTTTCTCTATCTCTGTGTGGGTTCTGTTTGTTTGTTTTGGGTTTCTTTGGGTTTTTTGTGGTGGTTTTTTTTTTTTGCTTAACTGCTGTTCCAAATATAGTGTCAAAAGTTCTCCTGTCTTTTTGTTGCTGAGTTGTGAAACATTATAGGAAACTGGAAAGAGTTTTATCTACAAACAGCCAGAAGAATGGCAAGAAGTAGAAATTCAGAAGTTGGTTATTACAGAGATATTTCCAGAAAAAATAGTTTTCTGAAAAATACAAAATTGCATAAAAAGCTGTTACAGTCCATCTGGTTAAAATGGTTATCATAATTGTATTTATTAAAATTTCAAAATAACAAGGAACACTTTTGCTTTGAATTATAATTTGTGTGTTTTATTTTGAGAACAAGTGAATAATAACTTCTGAATTTCTTAATTCAGTTAAATACTGAGCATAAGCATGCATGTATTTTTTTTCTCTAGTGTTTGCTTTTCAAAGCACTCAGACATCAGTTCAATTGCAGCTGTCTTAATAATGTTATATTAGAGCTGACATTACTTCTGGTGGCTCAGATTTTCTTGTAATGTGCTATACCATGTTATCAAATCATCAGTTAATTATCTCTAAACTTCAGTGATTTTTGCTTAAAACTTTCCATGCCAAATTTCCAGAAGTATCTGCAAAGCTTTAATAAAAAAAAAGTCAGCTCTCTTCAAGAAACAGGTTAGAGAAGGGGTACTAGTTGTCTTACTACTCTATTCATCTTTGTTTGAACGGAAGATTTGCTTGTGTTCTTTGTCTAAGAAAAAGTAGCATTAAGAGATTCTGTATTAAAAAAGTAGGAGGAAGCAAAACACCTTCAGACAAAGGTCAGTACAACATGAAATAGCTGTACATTGATTTCTGCCCATTGGAGGAGCAGTTCAGGATACACAGCCTGACAGATAAGAAGATGGCAGTAGAGTGAATTGCATGAGTTCCTCTTTTAAACATCTTCTTTCAGAAGCTTGGAAGAAAAACTCTCACTTTGAAAATCCATGCGGAGGTGTTGAGTCTTGGAATATCCAGTGTGTTCTGAAGGGAGAAGGGGTCACTGTTGGTGCTGTGGTTATACCCAGCTGATGCTTTGCAGTTCCTGATGCTCCTCTGTGGTGCAGGAGGTTCCTGTTGCAGAAGTGTTGGAGGCTCATCTTTCTCTGAAGTGCTGGAGATGAGCTAGTGGCTAGACAAGAAAGACATAGCTGTGTGTGTTCTGCTCTTAAGAGACCATGATGCCATTATGGTTAGAATTGCAGAATAGTTTGTGTGGGAAGGGACCTTTAAAGACCATCTACTCCACCCCCCCTGCAGTGAGCAGAGACATTTTCAACTAGAGCAAGTTGCTCAAAGCCCTGTCTAGTTTTGTGATCCTCAAGCTGGTCAGAGCCAGGAGAACATCCCAAATAACAACAGAGTTCTGAAATTCAAAGCTAAGTTTCCAGTTAATGCAAACTGGAAGAGGTGACTTAAAAAAAGCAAGCAAACAACAACAACAAAAAGAGAAGGCATACATACATTCTGATACAGAATAGAGTAGCTTATAAATAGGCTGTCTCCTGCCAGTTGCCTCCTGGCAGTTCTTTCCTCTAGGTTTGCTCTCAGTCTAAACCTTTCCTCAGCTTCTTGAGTCACAACAAACCATGTCTCTGCCTCAGCTTAGCGATGTGTGTGATTCCCTGCTCTTTCTAGCAATCTCCCAGTCTTTGCAATGCACAAAGTAGCAGCAAAAGAAACTGCTGGTTAAATTCATTGCCTTCTAGACTTGTCTCCTGGCTGCTCTGTGCTGCACTTGAAGTTTTTCTCTTAGGAGATTCAGTTGCTCCGAGGAAATCTTGCTTTGTCAAATCTTGCATCTTCCCTAGAACACAGCAGTCCTAGACAAAGGTGAACAGGCCACCTTTGTCCTGCTCAGCCACAGCCTTTTAATGAGAACTTACATGGTTCCACGAACAACTGCTCCTTACCACACTGCTCCTCTGCTGGGCTTTAGCCTAGCTATCTGCGGGGTGTGTTCTTTCAGGTCCAAAACCAAACGAAACCCCCTGGTGGGTTTCAGCTTTTGAACTAGGTCACCATCCCCTCCAAAGTTTGCTAAGGAACTTGCTGCTTCTGAGTTTTTTTAATAGTGATCAATGATATTGCTGATCTTGTCTGTCTCTTGGGTGTTTTTTTAATATGTTTCAATGTGTAGATATAAAAGCTGTATTAGATGGTGAGATCTTGCAACCCTTCATTTAAAAAAACCCCAAAACTTCAGTAAAAACATTTAATATTCAGCTTTAGGGAACTTAATTGCAAAACATTTGTATTAGTAAAACAGTTGCTTGAAGGTATTTATTTTCTGCTTTTGTGGTGACTTCAACATCCTGGGTAGATACTTCTCTCTTCCTCCCCTCCCTCTTTCTTCCTGTCATCAGGGGTAAGACTCTTCACCCACAGGCTGGCAGTATTTGGCTCTTCTCAATTATATAAGCTTGCTTTGTTTCTAAAAATTGGTAGAAAACTTACAGCTATGGTATACAAGGATTCAAACAACCAGATTGCTGCAAGAAGAGTCTGTCAAGCTGTGAAGAAACAAAAGCTTTAGTTTAGTGACATGTTCTGTCATGCATTTAGTTGCCTTGGTCTAGACTGATAGTGCATAAACGTAACCTGAGTTACTAGTTTGATTTTTTTGTTTTGTGGTGTTTTTTTTTTTTTTCAGAATAATAGCCTGGCAGAAAGCATTGCTAATTCCAAGCCAGAAAAGGATCCTCCAGATGTGGATCTTAAAGCTGAAGATTTCATAATTGATGTAAATATCTCTGAATGGGTTCAGAGTAAAAACTTCTCAATCACAGAGGGTGCCTGCTCTCCTGGCTGCTCAGTGTGAAGCTCTTGAGAGCAACAAGCTTCTCCCCGTGGGAGGTTTGCTGTGGCTGGGAGGGTCTGGGGGAAGAAGCTTCAGGAAGCTTCATTTGGGCCCTTCTGCTCCGAGTGACAAATGTGCTCTCCCAGACTGTCCTCACTTTGAAAAGCAGCAGTAGGAAAACCTTTGGGGTTTAGCATACAGGTGTTAAAGTCAGCAGTTTAGGGACTACTGCTGTGGGTTATGAAGGCAAGTAAGTTGCAGGCCCCAGTGGGAAGATAACAGCCACGGTGACTTCCAGGCTTCTGGTATTGCATGCCTGATGCAGGGCAGTCACTCCTGGATTTTGTCTTCTGCATGAAGCACCTTGCTGCCACAGCTCAACCTCCAGCCAGCACTGGTGGGAAGAAGAGAGCCTGAGATGGAGGAGAGAGCTTGAGCAGTCTGCAAGTATCCAATAACTTAATCCCTGTTCTTGGTTAATTCTGGGAAGAGGTAACTAATGGCTTTCCATACAGTGCATCACAAGTCACCTCTAAAGCTCCCTTGCGTTGAAGAGTCACTTCAGGCTGGGTAAATTGTAGCAGTTACCTAACATTAAAGTAATGGACTGTGCTTTCTTGTCTCACAAATTGAGGTCATGGGGAAGTGGTCTCCTCCCTGCTGACCAGAAAACTATTGGTGTACCAAGCAGATGTAAATAATGTCCAAACTTACTGTTTAAAATCATACATTCTCCTGCTGCCTCTGCTGGTTATGTGTTTTGGGGAGGCACAGGCTGGCCAAGGGACCAGCATGCTTCTGCTGTTTGAAACTGGAGTGTCTCAGAGCGTGACTGGGAACTAGTTGCTATAAATGTGAATATTCACCTGGCAGCTTCAGGTGAAAGGTGGTGGAAGAAAAGCTGTAAAATGCAAATAACAGATTGTTTTATTAAGTAATCATTTATTAATTTCATTTACAGTAGTATAGTCTGTATCCTTTTGGACTTACTGAGAGAAAACTAAAACCAAACATTAACAAATGCCATTTTCTTTGTTTTGCATGCAAGGTTATTAATATGGATTATGGAATGAAAGAACAGAATCCCATTGATAATGTTCTCTTCTATTGCAAGGCTGATCCTTCCAAGGCAGTCAAGATCAGCAAAGAACAGGTAGTCTTTTATTTTCCTCAACTGGCTTGTGGAAGTGATTCCAGTCCTTCGTGATGGTTCTTGCAGTAGTTGTGAAGAGGTTGCAGATTCCATGTCCTTGCAGGTCTTCAGTGTGTGTTGTACTACAGCAGTCTGAATTCCTGACAGCCTTAGCATATGAGCACTATTTAACTTGAATACCCAGGGAGTCTTAGAAAAAAATACAGTTGATTTGGATAAAGCTCATGGGTTGTAATGGGATGGTTTTTACTGCCTTCAGTTTGTATTCAGATTAAAAAATTGAAGTTCAGTGGACTTTAAATTCCAAGAAATACTAAAGCTTATTTCTTTTTTATTCCAAAGGTTTCAAAGCTTTTACCCATGAGGTTTGCAGAGCAGGTTATCCGGGTTTATTGCAGAAGTCAGGATCCATATATTGTTTCAGCTGCAAAACAGTATTTTATTCAGTGGTGTATAGAGAAGGATTTCACCAAACCACAGGTAACAAATTCATGTTATTTTTCTTGCTCTTAGACCTCTTCACCTTTGCCCATGAGCTTGTTCTTTAATTACAAAACTTGGCATTTAGGCCTTGTCTTTCTCGCTGGGCCACTCCTCACTAACCTTGCTTCTGGTTTTAGTGTGGCTTGCATCTGGGTGTGCTTTCGTTTCACTGAAATAGTGGTGGATTTGCATTGATTTAACTTAGGTAATTAGGAAAAGTTATGTTTTTATAGCAAAGAGAGTATCCCCACAGCCACTCACTAGTTCATGGATGCAGGTTTCCTCATACAAAGGCCTGAAACAGCACTGAGGGATTAAAAGATCTAGGGGAAGAGGTAGGGTCAGTTCTTCTATTGCTTTCCTTCCTTGTTCACCAGCTGTTAAACTTACTCGTGCCCCAGGAGGTTTACTGTTGGTCTGTTTCCTCTGGGTTAGAGTGGGAAATATCTGCGGGAACAAGATTGCAAACCTCTACTCTCTTGGCAGCTAGTCCATAGTCTGAGTGCTTGGAAGTCCTTATCTGTTCTCTTCTTTTTCCTGTCAACTGTCAGAACATACAAGTTTCCAGCTGTGAGGAAGGAAGGAATGTTATAGCTCATCTGCCCTTTTGTGTTGGGAACAGCATCAGAGCTGAGCTGGCAAATAAAAGGGAGACTCCAAAGCAGAACCTGGGTCCATATGTCTTGCTTTGGATTCCTCCTGCGTTCTCCTGGAAGTGGAGAAGCCTGTAACTATTGTAGCTTTAAGCTGGTGATGTGTGATACAGCATCCCCATCACATCCCCCTTGCAGGAAGGTGGGCGCTTTCATCTAAATGAATTACTGTTTTGATACTTCCAGTGTATCTGTCATTGTAGGGAAGCAGTTATGGTTGTATCAAGTAACTTTTTGTCAGTGGAAAGTACTAATGGAGCCACTCTGCTGAGTGCACAAGCTATGGGGCTTCTAGACTGGCAGTGTCAGTAGGTTTGATAGATGTGCTGGGAAATCGGCTGTTACGTTTCTCCCCTAATGTTTGGCTTTCACTTCTGTTTGTCTGATGGTCATACCAGGAAAAGAAATAGCTTTTTTCAGTTCCACTCACTTTTTCAGTTATCTTCTACTATCTGGGATCAAGACGCAAAGTAAAAGAAATGCTTACATTACAATCTCCAAATTGCTTAAGAAGTGCAGTGTGAACAGTTTGTTCTGTGGACCATTTTTTTTTTTTTTTTTCTTTTTCATCAAGTATTTTAATCCCTGACTTTGCATCTTAGACCACCCACAAGTCTCATTTGGGGAAAGAACTGCATCATCCTAACTGAAATCCACGTAGTAGATGTGTTGTCTTAGGTGCTGGAGCACACACAACTTCTTTTAAGGCTCGTTCTTGTGTCGTGTTTCTGGCATCTGTCTTTTGAGAGCAGTAAATTTCAGAAGGGCTTTTTATAAATGGATCAAGCAGCAAGCTTTCTCTGCTTGTAGCTTGTAGAGCTTTGTTGTATCCTACAAACAGATCCTTCCAGTTCTGGCATATCAACCTCACAGGCCATGGCATGTTGCAGAACAAATAACGTGCATCTTGTCAGCTTATTTCTAAGTGTCTTGTCTGTGTATGCAGTGCCTGAGCACCATGTTAACATATATCTGGCAAGGATGATCACCACTGCCCCAGTCTGTACCTGTTACTGTGACATTATTTACCTTAGGACAGTGACAGGTGCATCCAAGCACCTATATCTGGGGGATTGCAACAGTTTTAAACGAGATACTGTGGCCAATTCAGAGGAAGCACTTAAAATAATGTTTCCGTTTTGTATACCAATGCCCAAAACACAGGCCTGCTGATCTTCCTAGGTTTGTTGGTAATAATTTAGGAAGAGGTGGACTCCCCATGGGTGAAGGCTTTTTAGATATGTCAGTGACTTTTTTTCTCCCCACCAGATGCAGCACTGACTGCAGCAGTTTCCATCTCTGGGATGTCTTCAGTGGAGACCTTGCATTTATTTTTTCTCTTAAGCCTGATACTGAGCTGCTTTTCCTCTGCTTTAGGATAGAAATCAAAAGTAAATGTACTGTTGCTAATGTTTTCTGACTTTTAATAATAGGATAGTGATGTGGTTGCCCCTCATCTAACTCCAATGAAGGAAAGCTGGAATAACACAAGAGATGATGAACACATGGCAACTTCTGAGCCCAGCTGCAAACAAAGACTTCCTTTTGATAAGTAAACACCCTGAATTTTGCACTATTTGTTTTGCTTCTTCAGAAGATGAGTAAACCTGAGCAGCACCTCCTTTGAAAGCCAGTTGGGTGGGCTGTAAAAATGTATAGACAATACAGAAATGCATTTTACAATACGGTATGTTTTAATGTAGGTACTTAAAGTGCATATTCCAAAGGGACTTTTAAAAAAAAAAAATAATTAACAACCTATTACAGCAGGGCAAACTCAATTCTCGTTTATTTTTGAATGTATTTGCACTCTGTAGCAAGAGTAACTTTAAAAATTGCAATTCATCATTGTTACAAGAAGTACTGAAAACACGTTACTGTTCCTTCTAGTCCTGAGCCCTTCTTCAGATGATTGTGGTATTGCATGAGTAAGCAGAAAAACTTCCAGCTCAGGTTCTTGGTGTGTTCGTGGTTTTTTTTTTTTTAGTACCTGAGAAAGAGAGGAGTAAGTATGCTTCTGAAAATATAGTGAGGTAAATAGAACTTTGAAATAGCCATCGATGACATCTTCAAGAATAGCAAAATTAATTTCCTTTAAAAAAAATAAAAGGTGGGGGACAGGAGGATCTTTTTTTAATAGCCAAAGATTACTTTTCTGGTATTCAAAAAGCTGATGAAGATGCAGGCCTCTTGCTATAAGTGTGACCACAATTTTTATTGAAGTAACAATGCATTGTAGTCACATGCAGCCTTTAATTGTTTTATAGTGTATTTTTGATACGTTGAATGTTATATTTTTACTATTACACTGAACCGCAAAAACTACTCAAAACATCCATTGTTTGAGTGCTGCAGGAGAGCAGAGCTGCCCCAGTGTTTAAGGTTGGTGGGACAGTGGCTGGTCCTTGGCATGGCTGGTGAGTCACAGAGGACGCTGCAGCCTCTGCTCTGCCTTGCACCGAGTGCACCTTGGTTCTGCGTTACACTGTACGAGGGAGAGCGTCTCCTCAGGGGCTCTTCCATTCTTGTGTCCCTTCCCTGTTTCTCCTAAATCTCTGAATGCTGTTCCTGTGTGATGTTTCTCTCCCTTGTAGAACTATTAAGAGTTCTCACCTTTTTCCCTGACTGGCAGTACTAATATGAGTGTTGCCAAATGTCTGTCCAGTTGAAAAAGTGAATGAGGAAGACTTTTGTCCTCTCATCTTTTACTCAGGTCTAAGAGGAAGGCTGCTTTCATTAAATAAAACTGAAAAGCTTGAAAAAGCCCACCATCAAAACTAAAAATGCAAGGCAAAAAGTTCAGTAATGCTCAGAAATTGGAACAAGCTATGAATTTCTGTATCTCAAATGGAGAAAGAAAAGTTCAGCATTCAATTTTGACAGCCAAATGTGGGTTAGTGACTGAAACCAAGCACAGTGGGAAGGCACTGTGAGAGAACTGCAGAACTCTGTTCATATCTGATTATCTTTCCTTTGCCTTTTTTATCATGGGAACTGATAGCTGTTAGGCAGAGGGAAGGACAGTGAATATTCACCTGCTCAGATTTCATTTGTTGAAATAACCAGAAGTCTGGTTATTAGCTCTGCTGCTTTCTCATGTACCTGTGCTCATGTGTCTGAAGGCAATGTGGCATCACCTCTGCTGTTTGTTTCTTTAACAGTATTTCAGATCTGCAGGTGTACCAGATATCTGTTAGAAGGGGTTGTGACCTCTTTAAAAGCTTTTGAAGAACTTAATTATGCTTCAAGAAACAGCATCATAGCATGAAGGCATTTATCCTTCCTTATCTGCATAAAATCAAGTATTGTTAAGAATAATGTAATTTTGTTATTGTTGCTTGGGTTTGTTTTGAATCTATTATAAAAGGTGCACTTTATAATTGGGAAATATCTTTTGCTTATGTTTAAGCAAAAATTTGTACTTAATGTTAAGTTCTGAGGCAGAGCATTTCTTTTTTTCAAACGTTAATCAGAGCCTCTCTGGACTAAGAATAAATTTATAAACAATTGATTTTACTATTCTTTTAAGAAATTGCAGTACGTGAACTTTATTAAAGATGGTCTCACTGCACACTTATAAACAGCCAAATGTATTTCTAAAGGACAAATCCTGCTCTGTGGAAGTGCAGATTTTTCAGGTTGGGGAGATGGTTTCATACTTTATGCTTATACTCAAGTGAGTGGTAGTGGCAGTGGAGCCGGCTCAGGTGTAAGGGACCATGGGGTGGGAGGCTCCTGGAGGTTATGCCGGGATGGAGGATCCAACCTCTCCTGGTGCCTTGTGGTGGAACTGCCACCACCAGCTGTTGTCATGCCTGGGCAGAGCAGGCAGGGCTCTGACTTCAGCATCCGTACAGCGGCCAGCTTGGCTTCAGGTGCTGCTCCAACTATTGTGCAGGAAAGGTGAAGTCATGCTTGACCAACCTGACCACCTTCTATGATGGAATGACTGGCCTGGGAGCTCAGGGGTGAGCAGTGGAGACTGTCTCCCTCAAGCTCTTGAAGTAGGGTCTGGATGAGCGGACAGGGGCAGGACTGAAAACTGGACTGGGCCTGGAGAGTGCTTGATCAGTGGCGCAAAATGTAGATGGAAGCCAGTTGGTGTACCCCAGGGGCCAATACTGGCTGCAGTTCCAGTAGTCTTCATTACTGATCTGGATGAAGGGACGGGGTCCACCCTCAGCAAGCTTGTAGATGACACCAAGCAAGGAGGAGTGGCTGATACACCAGAGGGTCATGCTGCCCTCCAGAGGGACCTTGCTGGACTGGAGAAATGGGCTGACAGGAACCTCATGAAGTTCAACAAGAAGTATAAAGTCCTGCACCTGGGGAGGATCAGCCTCATTCACCATTATGTGCTGGGGGCCACCTACCTGGGAAGCAGCTTGGCAGAAGAGGATCTAGAGGTCCTGGTGGAGACACGAGTTGACCATGAGCCAACAGTGTGGTCTTGCAGCAAAGTATGGCAATGGTATCCTGGGCTGCCTCAGGAGCAGTGTCACAGCAGGGGAGGGAGGTGATCCTTCCCTTCTGTCCAGAACTGCTGAGGCCACTCCTGCAGTGCTGGGTCCAGCACTGCCCTCCCCAGGATGAGAGACAGGGACAGACTGGAGACAGTCCAACGAAGGGCCATGGAGGTGATGAAGGAACGGGAGCATCTCTGCTATGAGGAGAGGCTGAGGCCGCTGGGGCTGGACAACCTGGGGCAGAGCAGGTTCCGTGGGGTCTCATCAATACCTGCAGGGAGGGTGCTGAGAGGATGGAGCCAGGTTCTTCCTGGTGGTGCCCAGGGACAGGACCAGAGGCCATGGGCAACACGCAGGAGGGTCCTTCTAAACAGCAGGAAACACTTTTCCACTGTCAGGGTGACCGAGCACTGACACAGGGTGCCCAGGGGAGTGGTGGATGTACACAAAAGCTGCCTCGAAACGGTCCTGGGCAGCTGGCTCTGGATGGCCGTGATGGGGTTGGACCAGGTGTTCACCAGAGGTACTTCCAACCTCAACCAGACACTGATTCTGTGCTACTGACAAAAATACAAAATAGGCATGAAGTCATGGGATGTGTGCAAGGGGTGAGGCAGTGCTGAGAGGCCTGTGAAGAGGTACAGTCCCTGGGACCTTCCTGTGGGGGCAAGCGTTGTTGCAGCCTTTCCCCAGTCTGTTTGGTGATGGCTTGCACCGTCCTTGCCTTCTCTGCTGCCACCACCATTTGCTGCAATAACACCTTCTATGGGGTGGGGGAGGTGTTCCTCCTCCCAGAGCTGAAGGTGGGGCCACAGGCTGCCAGCCCCATGGCACCCCGGGGTGTGGGGTGCTCGTGGTAATTCAGTGGCTCTGCTGTGTGCCCCCACCTACGCTTGCCGGCTCTGTTGACAGCGGCAAACATCGCGCTTCAGTGAGCGGCCTTGGCGAGGAGGACATGTGGGCACCACATGGTGCATCGAGGTCCCCGGGGGTGGTGCTGCACAACGCATTTTATCAGGGGGTGCTGGGTCAGGTCAGGAGCCCTGAGCGGCCACAGTGGGAATGGAAGGGTCAGAAGAGCCGCAGACAATGCCACCGCGAGCCAGCCCTCCCAACAGGGGGTCAGGAGGGTGCTGGGGACAGGCCCAGTCAGTGGCACTCCTTGGGAAGGGCATGGGGAGTAGGAGAATGGTGATTTTTTTTTTTTTTTTTTTTTTTTTTTTTTTTTTTTTTTTAGGCCTCTTGCTATAAGTGTGACCACAATTTTTATTGAAGTAACAATGCATTGTAGTCACATGCAGCCTTTAATTGTTTTATAGTGTATTTTTGATACGTTGAATGTTATATTTTTACTATTACACTGAACCGCAAAAACTACTCAAAACATCCATTGTTTGAGTGCTGCAGGAGAGCAGAGCTGCCCCAGTGTTTAAGGTTGGTGGGACAGTGGCTGGTCCTTGGCATGGCTGGTGAGTCACAGAGGACGCTGCAGCCTCTGCTCTGCCTTGCACCGAGTGCACCTTGGTTCTGCGTTACACTGTACGAGGGAGAGCGTCTCCTCAGGGGCTCTTCCATTCTTGTGTCCCTTCCCTGTTTCTCCTAAATCTCTGAATGCTGTTCCTGTGTGATGTTTCTCTCCCTTGTAGAACTATTAAGAGTTCTCACCTTTTTCCCTGACTGGCAGTACTAATATGAGTGTTGCCAAATGTCTGTCCAGTTGAAAAAGTGAATGAGGAAGACTTTTGTCCTCTCATCTTTTACTCAGGTCTAAGAGGAAGGCTGCTTTCATTAAATAAAACTGAAAAGCTTGAAAAAGCCCACCATCAAAACTAAAAATGCAAGGCAAAAAGTTCAGTAATGCTCAGAAATTGGAACAAGCTATGAATTTCTGTATCTCAAATGGAGAAAGAAAAGTTCAGCATTCAATTTTGACAGCCAAATGTGGGTTAGTGACTGAAACCAAGCACAGTGGGAAGGCACTGTGAGAGAACTGCAGAACTCTGTTCATATCTGATTATCTTTCCTTTGCCTTTTTTATCATGGGAACTGATAGCTGTTAGGCAGAGGGAAGGACAGTGAATATTCACCTGCTCAGATTTCATTTGTTGAAATAACCAGAAGTCTGGTTATTAGCTCTGCTGCTTTCTCATGTACCTGTGCTCATGTGTCTGAAGGCAATGTGGCATCACCTCTGCTGTTTGTTTCTTTAACAGTATTTCAGATCTGCAGGTGTACCAGATATCTGTTAGAAGGGGTTGTGACCTCTTTAAAAGCTTTTGAAGAACTTAATTATGCTTCAAGAAACAGCATCATAGCATGAAGGCATTTATCCTTCCTTATCTGCATAAAATCAAGTATTGTTAAGAATAATGTAATTTTGTTATTGTTGCTTGGGTTTGTTTTGAATCTATTATAAAAGGTGCACTTTATAATTGGGAAATATCTTTTGCTTATGTTTAAGCAAAAATTTGTACTTAATGTTAAGTTCTGAGGCAGAGCATTTCTTTTTTTCAAACATGTTAATCAGAGCCTCTCTGGACTAAGAATAAATTTATAAACAATTGATTTTACTATTCTTTTAAGAAATTGCAGTACGTGAACTTTATTAAAGATGGTCTCACTGCACACTTATAAACAGCCAAATGTATTTCTAAAGGACAAATCCTGCTCTGTGGAAGTGCAGATTTTTCAGGTTGGGGAGATGGTTTCATACTTTATGCTTATACTCAAGTGAGTGGTAGTGGCAGTGGAGCCGGCTCAGGTGTAAGGGACCATGGGGTGGGAGGCTCCTGGAGGTTATGCCGGGATGGAGGATCCAACCTCTCCTGGTGCCTTGTGGTGGAACTGCCACCACCAGCTGTTGTCATGCCTGGGCAGAGCAGGCAGGGCTCTGACTTCAGCATCCGTACAGCGGCCAGCTTGGCTTCAGGTGCTGCTCCAACTATTGTGCAGGAAAGGTGAAGTCATGCTTGACCAACCTGACCACCTTCTATGATGGAATGACTGGCCTGGGAGCTCAGGGGTGAGCAGTGGAGACTGTCTCCCTCAAGCTCTTGAAGTAGGGTCTGGATGAGCGGACAGGGGCAGGACTGAAAACTGGACTGGGCCTGGAGAGTGCTTGATCAGTGGCGCAAAATGTAGATGGAAGCCAGTTGGTGTACCCCAGGGGCCAATACTGGCTGCAGTTCCAGTAGTCTTCATTACTGATCTGGATGAAGGGACGGGGTCCACCCTCAGCAAGCTTGTAGATGACACCAAGCAAGGAGGAGTGGCTGATACACCAGAGGGTCATGCTGCCCTCCAGAGGGACCTTGCTGGACTGGAGAAATGGGCTGACAGGAACCTCATGAAGTTCAACAAGAAGTATAAAGTCCTGCACCTGGGGAGGATCAGCCTCATTCACCATTATGTGCTGGGGGCCACCTACCTGGGAAGCAGCTTGGCAGAAGAGGATCTAGAGGTCCTGGTGGAGACACGAGTTGACCATGAGCCAACAGTGTGGTCTTGCAGCAAAGTATGGCAATGGTATCCTGGGCTGCCTCAGGAGCAGTGTCACAGCAGGGGAGGGAGGTGATCCTTCCCTTCTGTCCAGAACTGCTGAGGCCACTCCTGCAGTGCTGGGTCCAGCACTGCCCTCCCCAGGATGAGAGACAGGGACAGACTGGAGACAGTCCAACGAAGGGCCATGGAGGTGATGAAGGAACGGGAGCATCTCTGCTATGAGGAGAGGCTGAGGCCGCTGGGGCTGGACAACCTGGGGCAGAGCAGGTTCCGTGGGGTCTCATCAATACCTGCAGGGAGGGTGCTGAGAGGATGGAGCCAGGTTCTTCCTGGTGGTGCCCAGGGACAGGACCAGAGGCCATGGGCAACACGCAGGAGGGTCCTTCTAAACAGCAGGAAACACTTTTCCACTGTCAGGGTGACCGAGCACTGACACAGGGTGCCCAGGGGAGTGGTGGATGTACACAAAAGCTGCCTCGAAACGGTCCTGGGCAGCTGGCTCTGGATGGCCGTGATGGGGTTGGACCAGGTGTTCACCAGAGGTACTTCCAACCTCAACCAGACACTGATTCTGTGCTACTGACAAAAATACAAAATAGGCATGAAGTCATGGGATGTGTGCAAGGGGTGAGGCAGTGCTGAGAGGCCTGTGAAGAGGTACAGTCCCTGGGACCTTCCTGTGGGGGCAAGCGTTGTTGCAGCCTTTCCCCAGTCTGTTTGGTGATGGCTTGCACCGTCCTTGCCTTCTCTGCTGCCACCACCATTTGCTGCAATAACACCTTCTATGGGGTGGGGGAGGTGTTCCTCCTCCCAGAGCTGAAGGTGGGGCCACAGGCTGCCAGCCCCATGGCACCCCGGGGTGTGGGGTGCTCGTGGTAATTCAGTGGCTCTGCTGTGTGCCCCCACCTACGCTTGCCGGCTCTGTTGACAGCGGCAAACATCGCGCTTCAGTGAGCGGCCTTGGCGAGGAGGACATGTGGGCACCACATGGTGCATCGAGGTCCCCGGGGGTGGTGCTGCACAACGCATTTTATCAGGGGGTGCTGGGTCAGGTCAGGAGCCCTGAGCGGCCACAGTGGGAATGGAAGGGTCAGAAGAGCCGCAGACAATGCCACCGCGAGCCAGCCCTCCCAACAGGGGGTCAGGAGGGTGCTGGGGACAGGCCCAGTCAGTGGCACTCCTTGGGAAGGGCATGGGGAGTAGGAGAATGGTGATTTTTTTTTTTTTTTTTTTTTTTTTTTTTTTTTTTTTTTTACTTTAATGCTCTTCTTCCTTCTGTGTTTCTCTCACTGTCTTTGTTCTCACCACAACATGGGGGGCAGTATTATCCCCGGATAAAGCAGCAGTCAAATGGTCCCAGTTGTCTTTTTTGCCCCCCTTTCCTATATGAACATGATGACTCATTATGACAGAAGTGTAATAAACTTCTAAAAAGGCAACCACAAAACATGGTTAGTGTGTTGTTTTTTTTTTTTTTTTTTTTTTTTTTTTTTTTTTTTCTTTCTTCAGCTGGGAGGATACAGAAAGGGAGACTAACCTCAGCCCCACTAACTGGTGACTTAAGAAGCTACAGGCAACTGGGACTTTGGCAGCTGGTAGGGGGTCCAGCTGGAGGTCCATTGTGGGTGTGGAACACTGGAGGGGTTGGTGGGACTCTGCAAGCAGAGGAGGAGGGAGGGATTAAACACGGGAAGGCAAACATGGGGTATCACAGGGTTGCGTGTGGAAAAGGGCCAGTTGGTGTGTTGCCTGCCTGAGCCCTGTGCCTGATCTGTCTTGTCTTCTGTCCTTTTATCTTAAATCCCTTAACTATGTCTGCCTTTATCTCATGTCACCTGTGTGGAGATGTGCTTCAAGGACCAGGAAAGAAATGTGCTGCTGGAAAGACTGGTGTGAGTGGGCTTGGGGCCAGCAACTGGAGTCAGGTGGGGACTGTAGGTACCCCTGGCCTGTGGTGTCAGCTACTGGAGCTACACCCCAGTGCCAGCTGCTGCGGGAGCAAGTAGCTGTATCATCCCCGAGTAGCTGTGTCAGAGGATGGAGGGGGTGTCATTTGCAGTCAAACTTTAAACTGGACCATCTGGCATGTGGGGGGCTGTGGCAGGGGGAAGAGGACCAGGGTGTGGGCAGGGGGCCAGGCAGAGCGAGGTAGCCGTCTTTTGGGTAGACACTGGGCTCCAGTGGCTGGGCAGGAGGGTCCTGGGCTTGGAGTAGCTGGAGGAGGCAGCAGCTCCTGACGTCCTTTAACACCCATCAGGTGGTGGTCCCTGGTCTGGCTGCCCTGCAGGGCCATGCTGGGGGCCGAGTCCAGGCAGTTTCTGCCTCGGAGGGGGACAGGCAATGAGGCACGGGCAGGAGGAGGAGCTGGGGGGAAGCAGTCGGATGGGGTCAGCTCCATCACTGGGGCTGCTTGCCAGCTCAGTCAACGACTTCAGAAAGGGAACGAGTAGTCAAATAGCATGAGGAGAGAGAGAAGCCAACCACAGAGCATCTCCCAAGGGCCACAGGAGGTGGAATCAGCAGGGAAATGGCTGATGAGGTTCAGTGCAGGTACATGTAGTGTGGGGATCTGCATGTACAGTCCGGCAGCCTGGGCTTGGAGGTATCCAGGCTTTACAGAATGGCAGGTTTAGGGTAGGAGCTGACAGGAACTGAGGTCATGGAGTGCCTGGCCATGTTCCCAAAATAAGTAAATCAAATGTGGCCAAACCAGGCAGGTCCTTGTCCTTGTCCTCCCATGAAAACCCCTGGGCTACTCACCCCTGCCTTGAATGCCACACCTGGGGCTGGTCCTGCTGCTTGGGCAGGGATGGTGGAAGAGGAGAGCTGGCCCAATATCCAGGAAAGAGAGGCCACCAGGCAAGAGGCAGCACGTCCTGGAAAGAGATGGGAAGGGGCCCAGGGAGGGATTTTGTTGTCTCCCTCCCCATTGGGAGCAGGTTGGGATGAGATACCCAGCGTAGCCTGGACACCCCTGAAGAGGAAGCCCTGGTCTTCAAGATGTGACAGAATGGACAGAGTGTGAACTCTGGGAGACAGAGTCCCCACAGATTCCTGGGCTGACCTCCCTGTGCGTGCTGTGAGGACCCAGCCCTGGGTTGGGATGGGGCCAGGGCTCTCATAGCTCCTGGCCTGCTCCCCACCACTTGCCACTTGCCACTTCATGGCACCATTCCCTGCTTCCATGGCAAGGACTAGGCTGGGAGCACAGCTCTGCCTGTTTATTGAGTGGTATCCCCTGCCAGCCCTGGTGGGGCAGAGGCTTCCTGAGTCTTCCCAGCATCGTGCTACTCTGGAAGCTCGCTCCTCCACCTAGGGACCCTGCAGTGCTTGGCCCTGATACGCGCCCTCCTCCCTGGTCAGTTCTGCGTTGTCCCATCCAGGCAGGGTGATCAGTGCCGGGGGAAAGGGGGGCTGTCCTGCAGCCACCCCAGGGACCTCGACGTGGTGACAACAGCACTGGTGGGGAGGCTGAGATCCCACTGCAGCCTGTCCCAATCACACTGCCCCTCTGGCTGTTGGCATGTGAAATGGGGACATTGGTGGGACAGGGTGGAGGGAGGCAGGGGTGAGGCTGTGCACTGTCTGGCGGGCTCGGTGGTGCTGGCAGGGAACAGCTGTGCACATCTGTCCCAGTGTCCTCCTGATGCCATCTTTGTCCCAGGTGCGGGCCACAGGGTCAGGCCAGGCCCCACACTTCCAGGTCCTGGACACAGAACCCACAGTGAAAGGGTCTCGTTGTTGAATGTCTCGCAGGGGTGGCTGCCCCCGTGGTACAGGTCTCCATCCAGCCACAGCCCACATCTACCACTGGGAAGGTGCCAATGGCTGAGGGTCCCCCTCACCTGCCTCCACCATGCCTGGAGACAACCTCAGCCACCCCCTGGGGGACCGATCACCTCCCTGTTCCCATTCCTGGGTGCCCTCCTGCTGGGGATGCCGAGCAAAAGGGGGACAAGAGCAGCAGCCACCCCTGGGGCTGCCACCCTACCCACAGGGAGGGCGTGGGCAGGGCTGCTGGCAGCAGGATCAGGGAGGATGACATGGCCAGTGCTGCTGGACAATCTCCACCGGTGTTTCTGGCTTCAAACCACCCAGACCTGGCTCCGCAAGTCAACCCGGGCTCAGATTGTGGCCCCAGTGGCCATTGGGACTGGGGACCCCATGGACTACTAAAGCTGCTAGCACAGCTCCTACCTGCCCCCACCGACCATCAGCAGATCCACATCACCTTTCATGAAGAAGTTGTTCCTGCCCGTCCACCTGAATACCTGCATGGGGACAGTAGTTTGCCAGGACTGGTGGCTGGGGCCCAGTGTCCCTGTCCCCATCCTTGTCACCATCCTGTGAGGGACAGCTGGGGGCTGCCAAGCAAAGCTGGCTTTGCCCATCCCCACAGTGTCCTCCTCCAGAGGAAGACCTGCCCAAGTCTGTGGGCACCATCTTGGTGCTGGCCCATCCTCCCCAGCAGCCCTGCAGTCCCCCTCCAGAGGACAGCTGCCACCAGCCTCATCACATGCAGGGACAACACCCCCTTCTCTCACCCCCCTACCCCGCTCGCTGGTGCAGGCAGATGTGGCTGAGCTGCCTCAACAGCCCACCAAGGCTGGGCTTTGACTGCCCTGGCATGTGGAGAGTCCCCCATGACACCGAACTGGGCAGCATCCCCTTCCCTGAGCCCCACCTTCCAACACAGCCAGCTGGGATTTGCCTTCTACCCCCCAGCCCTAGACAAACCCTTGGGACTACAGGGACCCCTAGGGAGCTTCACCCATGTCCGGCCAAATCTGGACATATCATCCCAGACCCTTCCCCAGCATCCTGGGGGCTGCCTGTTGTGGCTGGGTCCCAGCCCCCCCCCCCAACCCAGTGGGACCCTGTGGCTGGCAGCCTGCCACCCCCACCTTTAGCTCTGGGGAGAAGGAGAAGAGGAAGGTCTCCCCTGTCCCATAGAAGCCATTGCTCCAGCAAATGGCGGTGGCAGAGAAGACACCGAAGGCCTGGGGGGACAGAGAGTGAAGGGGGATTGAGGGAGGGTGGGGGGTGGCGTGCCCCGTGCTGCAGTGCTCAGTGGGACTCCCCAGTGCCGGAACACATCCCTTATCCTACAAGCAGCAGCAAGGCTGCGACCCGCCCCAGGTGATACCAGGTTTGATGCCCGCAGCACCATGGGGCAGTGGGGCAGGGGAGGGCCCACCCATACCTGCACCTCCGTGTCTCTGATGAGCAGCAGGGCTGGGGAGCCCGTCTGGGCCCCATACCGGTACAGGGTCCGCAGGCTGAAGCCGTCCCGTCCAGTGCAATACAACAGGCGCCAGGGCTGCTGCATCAGCCGGGGGGGCAGGTGGGAGCCCAGCTGGGGCAGAGAGGTCTCAGCCAGGGCTGGCAGGCTACTTCTGATCATCCTGCCC